TATGTGCATTCTCAGAACCAGAAATTAGTGGGTGTTGAGGAGACTGTAACTGTAAAACACTCTGCTCTGTCTCTTGTTTTTTCTAAACCACCAGGATCTGTTGGATCCAGCCCGCTGGAAGATGCTGATCCAGCAGTTTCGATATGACAATTACAGACTGCATCAGCTGGGGAACAACTCTGTCTTCACTATCACTCTACAGGCTGGTCTGTCTGCCATCAAGACACCGTATCCTACCATACTGTGTTTACAATTATGAGTTGCTCCTGACTCTTGTTTTTATCTCCACAGCCAGACTTTCTAAGTTTTTGTAGAATTTTTTTAATTGTGAATAAAACTAGTTGGAGGAAACTGCAGGGTTTCGTCTACAGATGTATTTCGGTCAAAAGTGAGTTATTTGTTTCATCAAAGTCTGTTTGTACTACAAAGGAAAAAAAGTATTTTACATGGATTATTAGCTTCAAATAGTGCAAATAAAAAAAAAAAAAAAAAAAAAAAGGCAAAGAATCAGATCCTCATGAAGGCCACCACAATGCATCAAGCTACATGACTTGCAGTTGGTCCGTTTCTGTAGACTCTGCCACTGCATTTCTGCTTTCTGCTTTGTATGTAACTAAATTGCAAGGGAGAGAGATGCTCATTGTTCAGACATTAACACTTGTTCCAGCCTCTGGCACTTGTATATGCACCAATTTATTTAACATACACTTATTTCTCTGTAGGGACGGCTACCGAAACTAATCGAAGATTGTAGTATTTAAAGCTTGATGTTACCAGTTGTTTTGTCAGTACTTTTTAACGTCTTTGTGTAATTTATTATTAGACTGTGGCCTTTCCTCAACACTCTGTTTTAGGGTTGAGCTCCTCAAACTATAATCGTCATTTTAAGTGCCATAAAACCTTTGCGAGTAAAAGATGTTAATGGGAAACTGACAGGAATTTTAGCTTTTTTCTTTACTGACTGATGTAGATTGTGGTTGGCATTAAAGTTGATGAAGATAATAAGTGCAGATAGTTGTTATTTTACTTCTAATATAGTTGGATAGTTTAAACAACTAAGGACAGATAGCACTCCTTAATTAAATATTTGCTTTTGCCAGAGCTAGAAACCATGGCCAGAATGCAACAAAATGTGTCATATTTTTAAACATTTTTTTTTTAACTTGGGCTTCGCTGCACAATCTGGACACCAGCAGCCATTATACTGACATAAGATTTAAACAACAAAACAAAATAAGGGAGTGCTCTTGTATCTCATTTGTCTGTATACGTGGCTGCAGAAAAGAGGCCTTGATCGTACGTATCTTTCCCCTCTCTTCTTTTTGCTTCGTCTGTCTCATGTAAGTGGGGAAAAAAGCTTAGAGTGAGTGTATTATTCTTTCCACTGATGCTGTCAGCTGTGAGACTCATAACCACGTTGTACATTAAAAAAATGATTTCACTCATTTTCCTTAACTTCCTCGCCCGTTCCAGTCAGTGCTACAAGGAGGATGGTACCTCTAAGAACCCAGACTGCCCAGTGTGCAGTAAATCCCTTAACAAGTTGGCCCAGCCACTACCCATGGCCCACTGCGCCAACTCCAGACTAGTCTGTAAGATCTCTGGGGAGGTCATGAATGAAAACAACCCTCCAATGATGCTGCCTAATGGATATGTGTACGGCTACAATGTGAGTACACTGTTACAGGGATTATGAGCTAAAGATGTTTGTCATATAAATGGTAGTTTTTCTAATTGATCCTCCTCTGCTCATTTTCTCTTCCAGTCCCTTCTGTCCATCCGCCAAGATGACAAAGTGGTGTGTCCCAGAACCAAAGAAGTATTCAACTTCTCTCAGGCTGAGAAAGTCTACATCATGTGATCACTCAGATAGCCCGTCTGAGTATCAACATGATCGAATACGGCTGTCATTCATCACCTGTGACCCGGCCTACTCGGAGAGCCACCTGTGGAGCTGTGATCCAGTGCCCTTCTCCCCCACCACAGACACACCCGACATTTTCCACAATCCCCCTCTCCCAGTACATGATCAGATCAAGTCTGCCAGTTCCCTTCCCGTATCATTTTATCACACAGAAACTGGGATCCTCTCCTTTCAGACTGGTTTAGATGTGGCTAGAGAACAAGAAGTTGATTGATCTGATCCATTCAAGCACATGGACTATCAACATTGTCATTATCGTACAGGCCCTCACTTGGAAGTGTAGAGACTACAGAGAAGGACTGAGGGGGTGAAAAACTGCTAGGTAGTTATTTGATTTTATTACAACGAATAAAAACTTGTTGAGGTTACTTTGACTTTTCACTAGTGGTGTTCCTTTGTTACTAAAATAACATGTGGCAGGACTTTGTTAACCGCTCCATTAACAAGATTAACACGTACAATTTGGGCCTTTTTCAGAACAAACATGGCCGGCCTCCTGGTCATGTGGTAGCATCTCATTCTGTGATGCATGCTGTCAACATCCTTTGTCTTCTAGCCATGTTTTTTGGTGGGTTGTTTGGGGGGGGTGTATGTTAAATGCCACCTTTTTAAGCTGCCCACCTTTTTGCATTTCATCCCCCCTATGTTTGTGAAACCGGAGCCTGATTTGGGCCGCAGCTGGCTCCTTTTCAAATGTAAATATTAGATAGGAATTGATCATCCTCATGTATAAATTCAGGGGGGGGTTGGGGACAAGTAACGACAAGGAAGATTACCCTTCTACGAAGATTGCTGTGTGACCTGAACAAGTGTTTTCTTGGGTGTTGTAAACCTGATATAGCCCACAGTATCCTCAAGCTGGTCATCATTGAGGACGCTGTTAGTTTCACAAACTCGGTCAATATTAATGATGGTGTATTTACCACCATAATGAAAATGACGCAATATTCAAACAAGACAACCATCAGTGACGTGATTTTTTTTTTTTTTTTTAATATTGAACAAATTGTCTTCCTTTCTTGTGTGTTAAGTTTGCCGTTTTTGTTTTTCTTCAACCGATTTCTCTTTTTTACTTCAGGTTAATGGAGGAGAATATTTTAGTGACATTTATTCTGTTTAAAGAAGAAACCCATGGTGGTTTTAGTTAACTCAACGTTGCCCATATAGTTTTATTTCATAACTATTTTTCCAACAGTGAACAAGAGAGAAAGACTGTGCTGATATTTTCTCAGTCTTGTGCTCTCCGTATGTCACAGCAGCACCAACACTCCACAGCGTTAACGTAGCATAAAGGTACACTAACTGCATCAACACTACATGTAGTTACAAACACATAAAGAGGCAGGATCTAAATGTTAAACAATCCTGCCTTTTCTTGCAAACTCACAAGGGGAGATTTTGGTCAGCTGAAAACATCACTCATCTTTTATGACTTTGAAAACCTACTGTAGATGTTGGATGGACTAGGAATGTGATCCAAACAAGATACACACAGATCTGGACTTCAGTGACAACGAATCCACAAACATTCACCCCTGAACACCCACACCAAGCAATCCAAAAAAATGCAGTTTTATGTTAACCATGATCAGTCTTGTGGTCGATCATTTCTTCCGTTTGTTGTTTATTGACAAACCAAAAGTTGCCTCATTTGTGTCCATACATGATTTGGAACTGTATCTGTAAAGACACAGACTGTCCTGTGTATTTGTGTTGGTAGAATTAGATAAAGGGATTGTTTCATGAGCAATATGCCTCATAAAGATTTCAGTGAACTTTGATTTCAGTGTTTCATTATTTGCGGTGTATACTTTGCATTGACACCAGTATTACCATAAGCTGCGGTAGGTGTGACGAGATTAACAATTCACTGCATCTCTGTTGACATGGAAATACGACCAAGTGTTGTGTCTTTCACCTGAAACTACATCTCCATGGAGGCTGACGGTCTGTGAGGGCGTGTTTTTGGTCTGGCAGTGGAAAGCATGCTTACAAATGGTGATAAACTCACCAAGGTGCAAATCAGGTTTTGCTCCAAAGACAATGAATTGGCCTCCACCAAGGGTTTTTTTGTGTGCTCTTACATGGAAATTCAGTTTTAGGGGGCTGCAAGCAACAAATACTTTAGTTATTTAGCACTTTGCCCAATAAAGGATTGATTGTCCAGTTATAAAATGTCAGATAATGGTGAAAATGGTGATTGAAAATTGTTTCATTCCACCTGAAAGGCCACAATATTTAAATTACAGTGATATAAAATTGAGAAAAGCAGCATATCCTCAAATTTGGGAAGCTGGAACCAGTTAACTTTACTTGCTTTAACCACTGGTTTATTATCAAAGAATTAAATGATTAATTGCACACTCATTGATTGGCTACTCAGCTGTTAAAGCTATAGATTTTTTGCCCAGTCCACCAGTAGCTTCTATTGTCCTCAGCTTCTCTCTCACTAACCAAGCTGCTGCTGCTTACTGTGATGAATCCTGCTTTTTGCCCCATATACTGATATGAGTGTCCATTGTCTTGTATAAAATCATAAATGGACTGGCTCAGCTTTTAAATATAATTCACACAGTGTGCCACATTTCATTGTATTCTTGGTTGAGGATGTGGTTTTAGTTGAAACCCATGTACTCACGATGATCTTCAAAAGCTTCCTGTTAACTCGGCCTAATGATGTGTGAGCTTCATGTCTGGAGGAATTAGATTACATTTATGTCGAAAGAAAGACAAAATGTAGATTTATTTTTGTATTTTTTGGGATGCAAAATGTGTAAATATCACGACAAGCATTTGGTCGATGCGTTCTGTAACCATGTGACACAGAAACCATCCTGCCAAATGTAGCACGCGACAATATGAGCGTCATAATATGTAAACGTAGAAATATTTATTATGTTTTATAATTATATGATGTTTTTTGTAGATTTTATATGGTCGTTTTCTACATTTTAAACAAAACAGCTGTTGTCTTTTGTTACACAAAGAAACAGTATCGGACCGGAAGAGGTGTCAACAGTTATTCGAGCCAGTCTGTCGTCACACAACGCGTTCGTTATAAATTCAGCTGCGCTCTTCTCCCTCCGCCATTTTGAGATCACCGCTCAGTTGAGTACCAGCCAGCCTTTCGATATCTAAAGATGACTGACCAGCTTTGCAAACTTTTCGTCGGTGGCCTCAACGTCGACACCGATGACGATGGCCTGCGCAAGCACTTCGAGCAGTACGGTATGCTCACCGACTGTGTCGTCGTCGTGAACAAGCAGCTGCAGCGGTCCCGCTGTTTCGGCTTTGTGACCTACTCCACACCGGAGGAGGCCGACGCCGCCATGGCGGCTAGGCCTCACACCGTCGACGGCAACGCGGTCGAGGTGAAGCGGGCCGTGGCGAGAGAAGACGCCAACAAACCAGAGGCCCTCGCAAAGGTGAAGAAAATCTTCGTCGGTGGCCTGAAAGACGACATTGAAGAAGAGCATCTGAGCGATTACTTCTCTCAGTACGGCCAGATCGAGAAGGCCGAAGTCATCTCGGAGAAGGAGACCGGAAAGAAAAGGGGATTCGGCTTTGTTTACTTCACCGACCACGACGCAGCCGACAAAGCGGTTGTGGTGAAGTTTCACACCGTTAATGGACACAAAGTTGAGGTGAAGAAAGCCCTGACAAAGCAGGAGATGCAGGCGGCCAACAGAACCGGCATGGGGCCTAGAGGCAGACCAACAAGAGGCATGAGGGGAAATCAAAATGGCTACGGCAGCAGGGAGTACGGCGGAAACTACAACTACGGAAATGGCGGAGGCTACAACTGTGGCGGCGGCTACGGAGGGTATGGCGGACCAGGTTACGGTGGTTATGGAGACCAGGGAGGTGGCTATGGTGGCGGAAACGGCTACAACGAGTTCGGCAGCGGCTATGGTCAGCACTCATCTGGTTACGGCCCCATGAAGACGCCCTTCGGCGGCCAGAGGAGCGGTGCTCCCTACACCAGAGGCGGCGGTGGCGGCGGCTACCCGAGGGGGGGCTACGGCGGCGGCTACTAGATGAGTCCGCACTAATCAACCACCCCCACCCCCCTGCCATAAATTACCTCCAGCCAGGATTTGGACGACAAAATCAAATTCAGTAACGGGGCGTCTGCCGTGAAATCCAACAATGGCAGAGATACGGACAAAGAGACCCCCCCTAATCATCAGACCTCAAAACCCAAACAGGTAGGAAGGTCACTTCCCAGAAAGCCTGATAATAACGAGCAGCTGTTGTTGCCGTTCAACTAGGACACGTTAAAATGAAGAATAAAAGCATACAGTGAATCCCCCTTTTTTATTATGTACCCACGCCTACGCGTGTAGTTGTCGTTTAGAGTTGAATATTATTTTTTATTTGCGTTCACTCGTTGTTTTGCAAATTTCGATGTAGGATTGTTTTGATGATTATCCTAATATTTGCATTTTAAGCAATTAGATTTTGTTTTTCTGGAGTAAACTTTAGTGTGATTTCAATGTATGAGGATGAGAAAGCATGTTTTTTTGTCGTGTTGGATTTCATAGCTTGTCATTACATCAACTTGTATGATTATATACTTGGGTTATTCAGCCAAGGTGGGAACGTGATACTGCAGGATCCAGTTTCCTTGTTTTCTCCCCCATACTGTACTCTACCAAACTCTCCTCACGCATAGTAATAGTTCCAGTCTAAATATTGTTCATTTTTCATTACCTGTAGCAATATCTAATGTATATTGTATACTTTCATGTCTGGAGAACAAAACCTACTGTTTAAAACATTTTTGGTATGCTTATGTATGTTCATTTTAAATAAAACGTTATACCACTTAGCTTAGTTATTTTACTTATTTAACCAGGCTTCCTCAAGTTCATCCACAGGTTTTATAAGTGACCTCATCTTGATCTTTAGTTACATGGCATCTTTCCCACAGTTTATTCCCTTACTCTCAGGTGGGTGAAATGGTTACAGAATGGTTGTAGTCTACCCACAGCCAATGCATGTAGGCTTTGTAGGGTTTGACCTTTGTGTTTTTAAAATTATGTGGTTTTTAGACATGCTAATGACTTTTTTATATATATATATTTCTTTCCTTTTACATATTTGAATACATATCAATATGTGGACATGAGGGCTCTGATATTTATCTTTGATTATTCCTACTTCCTATTAGGTGTTCTTACTCGTATTCCAGTATGCTATCCCAGCCATAATAGCCGTAGCAGTTTGTTTGTAGGCTACATCAGGACCCTGTTGATTACCTGGGGTCGATTGTGATAGGAGTCTGAAATATCTCTTTAGGATATCCACATCCAGCAAACTAGGTATGTAAATCAACCTGTCTTCACTCTGTGTTGGTCAACCATGTATGGCATATCTTTTGTGAGATGGTGCACAAGTGCGCCATTATTTAATCATAAAGTATCTGACACTTTAATCATAGCTCAATGCGTCTTATGTAGCTAATCTTAAAATAAGAACAAAAATGGGGGGGTTACTTGATTTGGCCTTTAATGAACTTTAAAGTGGGTGGAAGGGGACCCAAATTTTGTTCCACCATTTATATGAAATAATGGAACGAGTACATTGGTGTCTCTTCCAGGAAACTTTGCACGGTCCAGTTTCTTACTCTGTTTCTCTCCCGTCTCCTCCAGGTTGCTACGGTAACCTGGGCACGAGGACATCACCCCGAAAACGATGGGGTGTGTGTCTGCACGCCGACGAGGGTACCGGAGAGTGGTTGTGCCTTCTCCCCCTCAGGTGAAGTCAGTTTTCACAAAGGATTCCCCAGTGTGGTCTAACATGGGTTTTCCCCCCTGAAAGGTTTTAACGAAGAGTTGGTGGATTATAAAGTTTGGGAGAATTTTGATAACACAGTGCCCCAGTGCGATCTCAAATATATTTCCCCAATGCCTGAAAACTAAACTAATGTGATTTCAAAGTGTTCTGTCTTATTCCTTTTTAATCTTTCTTTCAGTTTTATTTAGGACCACTTGCTGATGATGACCTGGGAGTCAGAGCTTGCACTTTGGGCACTGTGGGTTTCAAAATGCAATAAATGTTTATGATTATACTTGTCTTGTGTTTTTAATAAGTCTTCGTGGTTTTATAAAATCAATATTTAATTAATGGCAACTTTAATGACACTCAAGGGCTGCTAACGTCACAAAATGTCAATAAAAAGATACAATAAGCAAAGCACTAGTTAAAAACAATGACTACAAATAACAGAGCATAGGTCAAGAATGAGCAGGTATAAAATAAGAGGCAGTTGTTGCAGTTAAAAGTAAGCAAGCGCATTTTAAAATAACTTCTCAAGGAGCAGTTTAGTATAAACTCCAAGACAGGCCATGTGTGAGCTTGGCCACAATGTGACTTGGTTTTTCCCAATGAGGAATATTTAAAATAAATGGCCTGCGATACTTGGTTGAACACATAAGCGTAGATACAGATTTGATATTTGCAGGTACATTCTTTATTTCACCTGTGGTAAGTGTTAATGAAATGTGAATGGCTTCAGTGGTCGCTGTAGTGGTCCAAAAATCCAATGCAGCAGAGCTTGGAGGCTTAACACGCACACTTGTACTGATCGTTTTCCTGCAGACAAAAGTGATGAAAAATCACATGGTTGCACGGCCCCACGTGCGTCTTGCAGTTACTTAATCAGGAAGTAGAGGCTTCCATGTGCAGGATACTGTACGTAGACCTCATGGCAACCTCTTATCTGCTCTGCCATCAAAACATGATTGAAACAGCTATCAAATAAATGTATTACAATAAGGCGTTTCCTGAAGAGCCAAGATATTGCAGTTGTTCATCTCTGTGCAGCCTGATGAACTGTAAACAGATTAAAGGCTGCAAAATGAGCTGCCAGTTACATAACTACGGTTGCGTTTGACTTTATTACAATGCACTGCAGCATTTAGCGATAGGGAGTGTTGCTAGGTAAACAAGAGGTTGGTCATACTGATCAGAAGTTGAGGCATTTTTTCTTTAATACCAGTCTTGTAATGAGCATAGAACTTAATGTTGAACAGGCCTGGGAGGTGTTAATAAAGACCATGGGCTAATTTTTCTGGCAACTGAGTACATTTTTGTGATTCAGCACCTTTTAGGAAACATTTAAATAAGAAATGAGAAAAAGAGTTGCATTGTTTTCTCCTGATTAACATTCAGAAGACAGGTGCAGCCCATGTAATTTTTCTCTGTAGTCTGCCGGCCAAACTGTCCATCAGTACCTAAAAGGATATGTATTCCTGTAGGTGAAGTCTAATGGGTTTTCATTGTGTTGGTAAATTAAACTGATTTTGATAACTGAGCAGGAAGGATCATTACTTGAAGAGCCCTCTCTGATAAAGACGGACATGGTCTTCATCTGTTTAAACAATGAGCTAAAGTGATCATAAGAGAGCTCAAAATTAAACAATATATTTGACAGAATAACAGTCTTCCTCCTTAATTTAGCAGTGGTGTCTTTATTAAAACCAAAACCACTGCGACAAGAGACAATTTGGGTTTTGAAAAATTGGAGGGAAGGGCATTCTTGCAGTGTGGTCCTGTCTGACGTGCTGTGACACATAACTTTGGTTACATGTGTCAGAAATACTGTTGTGTTATAATAGTGTTGCTTGACGTGGCGATTGGAGTGTAAATTTTCCCTCTGTTCTCTTACCTTTTTATAGGATAATGGGGCTTGACGATTTCTGATCATCCCATAAGAACAGGAAACAACTGTTATGTTGGCTGTGCTTTTTATGAATCTACAATAAATTATATATTTTTATACACCAAGACACTTTGTTATGTTGCTTATTTATATTGAGAGTAGTTGGTTGCATGTCTGCCAACGGTGATACCTTCAATGAAGGGGTCAAAATAAGGTTGTGATCTGGTTTGTGTTGGACGGTTAAGGTTTGCAGAGGCGGTGATACCAAAGGTCTGACATTGTTGGATGTATTCATGTTTCATTCAAACACATACATATAACATCTTCCAATCTGATTACATTTTTGGGTCATGGTTAGTTCTATAACCATGGTCTAAATCAGTGCCTAAAATGTTCAGTGGGCTTGACTGGCCTGTGGTGAGGTTGTTTTGGCACTTCAGGTGAAACCAAAGGATTTGTCTTTACATTCACAGCCTAAATTACACTGTTTCTGCACCTCTATGTATACATGCGTAACTGTTTGGGGTATCTAAAGGAGCCCTGTGGAGGTTTCATGGTAACATAAGTTACGGTAACATTCAGTTAGTCACCAAAAAAAACATTGTGTGTGTCCTTTAGAGCCTTTAAAAGTGTAATTTATAAAGGTATACTATGCAGGATTGGTGGTTACTGTTTGTAAACACGCTTGGAGTCAAAAGTGAAAGCCAAACCAAGATTCAGCCGATGCATTTGGCCTCGCTGTGAATGTGTTTCTGGCACCGTGTGACTTGGATGCCTCCAGCTTACGGTCTGGGATCTGGTTTCTACCCTTTTATAAAGTCCTGACCTCACTGGAGCGCTGTGGGGGTACATGACATTACACATGCCGAGCACAGAAAATAAGAGTGTGTGATACAGACGTAATCCCCTAATAATCACCTATGAGCCACTGCTGGTGTGTTTGTCTGCAGAGATTGCCCTCTGTCTGTATTTTTTTCCCAGGAAAATCCTGCATATTATATCTTCAAATCCTGCTCAGTTTATATTCATGTTTACCAGCAGCCATTTTGGCTCACCTGTAGGTCAGTGGAATAGTGTGAAGTCATTGTCAGGAGTGGGTATCGTGCATGTACACAAGACAAACTAAACAAAACACACAGTAACAGCTTCACAAGATGTCGGAAACTTTACAGGATACTATAAGTTTGTAGAATTTCAATTGGGAGTCAGACTCATCGTAGATAAGCAGCTGAGTGTTGCATCAGTTCGTTCGAAACTAACAAGACAGAACTTGATGATCTGGTTTTAAAGTTGGACTGTCTCCCAAAACCGATACTGCAGCTTTCATGTTGACAAGTCTGTCAGAGAACTGCAGCGGGTGCAGACTGAACATGGGCACGTTGCAACATGAATTCACTTATCTGTAGTTTCTTTTGACCTCAGTTGTAGAAGCACTGAGTTTTCCCAGCAGCCTGGGAGCAGAGCGGAGATAAGTTTAACTTACTGTGAACAGACAGTGTGTTGGAAGTTCCTGTCTTTTCATATTCTCGCTATGTGTTGAAGACCTGTGTGACCAGTTCTCTTCCTGTCAGTTAACATTTTGTTTGTCTGTTCGGAAAGATGGATCCCTCCTTTATTACTCTTCTGAAGGGTGTCCTCCATTTTGTCCATGTTACAGGGTTGGTTTTTTTTAAGGAAGTGTTCACTTATCTGACTGAAGAGCCCAGAGGCAGAGGATGTTGTGTGTTGTACAAGTTGTAAAACACTGTGAGGCTGATAAATAATACTGAATGACATAAATAATTTTAAGTACAAATCTGAGATGTTAAACACTGATCAATCTGTTCACAATGAAGGCAAATATAAAGAGAGAGCTGTTGGCTACAGAGTTTCACATACGAAACACATGCAGTTGTATGAATAATCTTAATTTTGTAGAGAAAATAGCACAAGTCACCAAAGTGGGTCAACACTGTTGGTCCAAGTAAGCAGAACTGTGTCATGCATAATTTTGTGGCTCAGTACATTTGTTCTTATTATTTTTTAGCTGTGGCCTCAAGACTGCTCTGTCCTTAGTAAATAAGCAGCTAGAGGACATTATGTTTAAGCACTGGGGATTTTTTTCTTTGAAAATGTAGAAAATTGGCATTTTTTCAAAAACAGGAAAAGTTAGATTATACACTTTTTATGTTACACCTTTATATTACGAATTCTGTGTGAATACCCCTCAAGTTTTATTTTACATAAGTTATTAAATCAGTAATATAGTAAAATAATTTCTGGTGTATTTAAAGAACATTAGGGCTTTATCATGATGAAAGCATGATTGCTGTTGTCTTTAAGGAGGTATCATGTATGCCGTGTACCTTGTGTGCCTTTATTAACAGAGACCCACGTAGACTAACTTTTGTCTTTTTTGGGGGGAACACTGTACACTTTGGGCAAGAAGACAGGTGAACAGTAAAAGCCACACAGAAGCAGCATACATCGTCTTAAAACTGGGAACCTGAAGATTAATTTGAGCTACAGCTCAACACTGTGGGTCAAGTTTTTCTAGTCACAAATATAATAAACATGTTTTGGTTAGATGCCTGTTCAAATTTTAAAGGTTTAGAGTGTTAAGGGGGCTTTGAACATTATAGTAGAAGTATATGATGGCTATTCCCATGTGCATTTGTCTCATAAGCTGTTGCAGCAATTTAGTGTATATGTAATTTGTTACACTATTGGTGCTCAGTTGAAGCACGTTACCTCTTGAGAGCTGATAAAATGGTCATATATCCCTCTAGAATACCAAATTAAGACACCAAGACCCTGAGGACCACCACAGAAAAATGTGTTGTTGATTTAGTATCAAAAACTTTTCACACTTTTCTATTCTGGAAACTACTATAGTGAAATTGTCTCATTGCAGTGAGATGGCTACTAAGGGGAATAACCATCACACATGAATAAAACTGGGCTCATTTAATTCACAACAGTCTCAGCTTTCCAGTCAGATCCACTTTATACAACTCTAACACTGTTTATGGACCACATAGTGTAGAAATATTCAAATATAATAGGTGAAAATAATGTGTAATGTGTATATGACATGCAGTAGGTGCACATGTGCTCAAAGCTGTGTGGGACTAGCATAGACTGGGCCTGTCTGTAAAGGGGAAGCACGTGGGTAACCACAGAAACAACTTTCATTCAGATAGCGTGGGGTGAGAGGCCAGGGGACCTCTGTGAACATGACCATGCTGTTTTCCCTCGCCAAAACTTAGCCTCAATAAGGAGAGTCATTTCGCCCCCTTCCTGATAAGCTAGTATAACATGTTTGGTACTGCTGGATTCTTTAGTTCACATGATACTAGTGTCATCTAACTTTACAACTCTTCCCTCTACAGCTTCTCAAAGATGTCGGCCGGTGGCCCAGCGTGTCTCAGAGGGTTAATGTGCTATATGTTGTACAGGAACATAGCGAACGGGCACAAAGGTTGATATCCACGCTTCCCTCCCTCGTCAGAAATTGAACCTGAGTTTTCCGACACCACTTGAAGGCGGCAGCTACGTGAACCGCTTGCGAGCCAATGAGAGCGCTGACTCATTTAAAGCTGACCAATCAGCGACCGCTACGTCTTACGAAGGCAAGCGAGTCCGCCCCGCCCTGACGTTGCTCATTGAAGAAGAAGAAGAGGGACTGTTTCATCCTCACAAGAAATTCAATCATGACGGCCAAATTGTGTAAGCTCTTTGTCGGAGGACTGAACGTGGAAACCACAGAAGATGGCGTCCGCAAGCACTTCGAACAGTTCGGCACGTTAAGCGACTGCGTCGTGGTGATGAACCAGCAGCTCGGCCGGTCTCGCTGTTTCGGCTTCATCACCTACTCGACACCGGACGAGGCCAGCGCAGCAATGGCGGCCAAGCCACATGTCGTTGAAGGCCAAGAAGTGGAGCTGAAGAGGGCCATAGCACGCGAGGATGCTAACAACCCGGACATCGTCGCCAACGTGAAGAAAATCTTCGTCGGCGGTGTGAAAGACCACATCGAGGCGGACAACCTGTCCGAGTACTTCTCGCAGTTCGGCGTGGTGGAGAAGGCCGAGATCATCTCTGACAAGCAGACCGGCAGGAAGAGAGGTTTCGGCTTTGTCTTCTTCGAGGACACTGACTCCGCCACCAAAGCGGTGCTGAGCAAGTACCACACCATCAACGGGAACAAGGTGGAGGTGAAGAAAGCTCTGACGAAGCAGGAGATGTCCACCGGCGGCCGCGGACGAGGTCGAGGAAGGGGGATGCAAAACTATGGCGGCGGAAGAGGAGGTGGCGGCGGCTACGGAGGCGGCTACGGCAACAATTACGGAGGAGGCTATGGCGGGGGATACAACGGCGGTGGCGGCGGAGGATACGGCGGGTATGGGGGATACGATGAGGGGGGATACGACAACCAGATGGGTGGGTACAGTAATGGTGACTTTGGGGATGGCTACGGACAGCAGCACTCTAACTATGGTGCAGTGAAGGGGGGCGGCTATTCCACCTACAGGAGCGGGGGTCCCTACAACAGAGGCGGCGGCGGCGGCGGCGGCGGCGGTGGCTACAGCCGGGGAGGTGGCGGTGGTGGATACGGCGGTGGCTACTAGGGGCTCCCTCCAAGTTTTGTTTTGTTCATTGGGGAAAATTACAGCGGACTTGAATTCACACACACGCACACACACATCACACATGCCCGGGTGAGGGGTCTTTGTTGAGCTCAGTTTAAGGGAGCAGTGCCCATCACCCACACGGAATGAATGAGACTGTCCCCTGGATCCAAGCTCCCCCCACCCAGACCCCATCTGTCCTCTTATTCCACACCTTATGGACTTTACTACTAAGAATTGTGAATTATTGAACTGTACTTTTGTTATGTCGGGGGAAGACTTGCTTTGAACCATTTGTAAAGCCGTAATTAATGTCAGTCACTGCTTCTCAACTCTAAAAATTGAGTTTGTTTCGTCTTGCAAACCAGCCACATGTGTCTGTTATTTTTTGCATCATGAACTCAGGGTTATAAGTAATGTTGATGGCAGTGTCGGGCAGCATGGGACTCGATTGCTTGAGTTTCTTGATCTTAAAACACTCTCGTGACAAAGTATTTTTTGAGAAATGTCGCGAACTGTTTTGTTATCTGTAAATTTACTTTTTTTTCACCTTTCCCGTCCCATTTCAGGCTTATGTTTAGATTAAAAACTGTTTTGAAATTAATGTGTTCAGTTCACCCCTATGTTTGATTCTGCTTTTATTAAAGTTTTTAATGTTTTGAAAATCTATCCAATCTCGTAGTCTTAATTAAAATCGTGTGGGTTACATTTCAGTAGGTAATGCATGAGCTGGAGTGCACACACATTATCAGCTTTACTTGGATAATCTGCTTTTTGTAACCTCGTGAGTTCATAAAGCTACCAGCAGGAGGGAGTATTGGCTGCACATCTATGCATTTTCAGTTCATCGGCCATTTTATACCAGCACAGATTAAGTAGGTAGAAGAAGCTGATTGTCTTTATTCAGAGTAGTCACTAATATCTGATGTGCTCCTCAGATTGCTGTTCTTTTTAAGGAATCATTTATATGGGAACTTTCAATTTAATTAGTAAATAAGACAATACTCAACGATTATAACCAACTAAATTCACCTGTGCCCACATGGATGTAGTGTGAAGTATTAGAATTTTGTTTCTTGTGAGTTTAATCTCATTTTTTGGTGATTTCTCTTTTTTTTTTCAATCTTAAATGTTGAATTTTGAGGGCTGATTTCAGTTAAGGCAAAAATAAATGGAGCAGATCTTGAGTTTAACATTAGCAACAGGATTTTCTTTGGAAAAAGGGTTTTGTTAACCTTTATAAACCCACACACATGCATGGGAGGTGGTCAGGATCTTAAGAAAAATACAATTAATAGCTGCCTCTGGGCTCCCAAATATGTCTCATCTTTCCAAATATCAACTAATAGATTTTGTTGGACACAATTTGGATGTCTATCTGCAGTCCGTGAATGAAATTAAGATCTTTAGAGATTTATTTTAATGAGTAATCTACATTTACAAAACTGACTTTGTGGATAACACTAAAAGCACTGGCAGCAGAGATAAAGAAAAGGGTATGAGCTCTCACTCTGACCCTGTTTCTGGGTACAAAAACATGGCTATTGTCTGGAGCATCAAATGGAAAGTGAAGTACATGTTACCACATATTCTGATCAGTTATTAAGGTAATGGCTTTATTTTTTAATCAGTCTAAAGACTGAAAAACTTAGACTGCAGAATGGCATCACACTGTCTCAGACATTTATGTGAGATTGTGAGATGTGTATGGAACTTTTCAATGCCTGATGTAAAAAAGATATAACACACTCTTTAAAAGCAAAGCAAGATAACATGAAATAAGTAAAGAGGGATGTTTACAACATACAAATTATTGTTTTTAAAGAAGTAGAGGCTAAAATTAGCTTTAAAAACCACAATAAGAAGCCCTGATTTAAGGGACTGGAGTATTAGATGTGGTGCAAAAAAACCCTGTATGCTGCTTTGTCTAATTTTAACTAGTTTTGAATAGAAAACTATCCTAGACCACCTGAGAGGTCTGGATGGTTCATAACAGCAGCAGATCAGTGAAGTATTGAACCTTAAAGCATGTAGCACTTTATGAACCAACAGCAGCATTTTTAAAACAAATCATTGACACAGGAAGTCAACGTAAGGATCCGGCACAGATCTAATATGATCCACTTTCTTCATCCTTTTAACGTATACAGGCAAATTACCCAGAACAAACCAATGAACACATTCAGCATAGCACGTGTGTATCTTTGATTTCTCTTTGCAGAATCAGACCCTGTTGATGTAACTGATATCAGTTAGCAGTCGCTGCTTGGAGGCCTGGGAGGTGGAAGTTTGCTGTTTGTGCCCAACTGACCTGTCATCTACCGCCCTCTGTGCAACATGTGTTCTCTGTCACCTTCAAGTTTCCATTGAACCAAAGCAACCAGAACACCTACGCTGGATAAAACCTGCTGCTTTTGCATTTTCATTTAACAAAAGACAAATTATCCCATATGTCTACATTTAAACCTCATTCGTGACAGATGTAAATTGTGTCCAGACACCTTTAGACACAGATTGGTGTCAAACCTTCAGCTGCATAACTTCTGGGGCTGACGCTTACAATCTTTGAGTGATGCCTGAAACATACAAATTGAATCACATGATCTAACAGTCATTTTCAGTCTAAAAGCAGAGAATGTTGTCTGGACTACAAATGTTTAAAAATTTCATTTAAGAGCTGAGACAATGAATAGATTTTTCCATTGATAGAATATTAATCAGCAACTATTTTGATAACCAGTTTACTGATGAAGTCACTGTACCAAGCAAAATATACCCAATATTCATTGGTTCCAGCTGTCTAAATGCATGGATTTACTGCATTTTTTGTCTTAAAGTATTGTAAACTGAGTATCAAAAGGCATTTGAAGAAATCATGGCAGGCTTAAGGAATTCAAGACAGTGTTTTTTTCACAATTTCACACACGTTATTGACAAGTTGTGTAGAAGGGGCGGCAGTAGCTCAGGCCATAGGGGCCTGAGTTGGGAACTGGAGGGTTGCTGGCCCTAGTCGCCATCCAGACCACATATGGAGCATGGACTGATAGCTGGAGAGGTGCCAGTTCACCTCCTGGGCACTGCTGAGGTGCCCTTTAGCAAGGCACCAAACTCACATCTGCTGGGCAGCTCCCTCACTCTGACATCTCTCCATTTAATGCATATATAGGTTCTGTTTGTGCACGTGTGTGTGTATTTCGGGCCTGTTTGTTTTTTGTATATGGATTACTGTTAATTTATTATGCTGATCTGTTCTGTACATCATCTATTGCACGTCTATCCCTCCTGGAAGAGGGATCCCTCCTCAGTTGGTCTTCCTGAGGTTTCTGCCATTTTTCGCCCGTTAAAGGGTTTTTTGGGTAGTTTTTCTTTATCCACTGCAAGGGTCCTACGAACATAGGGATGTCGTATGCTGTAAAGCCCTGTGAGGCAAATTGTGATTTGTGATATTGGGCTTTATAAATAAAATTGATTGATTGTTTTTATATGACAACAGAGTGAAAAAAATGTGGATTTCCCTTCAGGATTAATAAAGTAAATCTTCTGCTTCTAGATGGACAATGGATATGTTAAATAAATGATCAGCCAAATGATTGATCATTAAAACAATCATTAATTGAAGTTGTTAGTATTTTCTCTGTAAATTAAATTCATGATAAAATAAAAACTTCTAATCTGGGGGAAAAGGAACTCCTTTGTTTCCTATTTTATTATTGTGAGTCTTAAAAAAAAAAGACTAGTGAGTGACTAACACTGTCCCTTATGTGCAGGATTTCTCGTGAATAAGCTGAATCAAGATATTTCTCTCTCCAAGATATAAGTAAAACTGACTGATATCTATGCGTGTAAGTAATTCATTTGTTTTTACATTGCATTTCCCATTATTTAATATTTTACATTTTAACTACATAGTTGTCGTCTGTATAACTGGGAACATTCAATAAAGATAATTATCAAAATAAACAAACAAACAAAAACAAACAAACAAAAAAATATATATATTATATACTGTATACACACACACACACACACACACACATTTTTTTCAATTATTTATTTATTTGTGTAACAAGTACACAGACAGTAAAGACAAGATAAAATCATAACAGTAATAACTAATGGGGAGAAAATAAAAATAAGATAAAAATAAATAACATAATAATATATTAATAATACCAGTAATAATATTAATAATAATGATAAATAAAAATGAAATAATTAAAATAGGATAAAAATAAATAACATAATAATATAACAATAATATCAGTAATAATAATAATAATAATAATAATAGTAAATAAAAATGAAATAAAATAAAATAGAATAAAATGAAATAACATAATAATATAATAATACAATCAATAATGATAATAATAATGAATAAAAATGAAATAATTAAAATAAAGTAAAATAAAATAAAATGGTTTTTTTTTATTAAATAAAAAAAAGGGATAATGGTCAGTGGAAATGGTTCATGCCTTCGTACAGTCGGAGCACATTTAAGCAGGTTTCGTGGATGGTCAGAGATCCATAACAGTTTCCCATTTTCTCCGGGAGACTTCTCCTTATTTTTTAATATGTAAGTACAATGTTCCAGTTGTAGTTTATCATTCAATATTTGTTTGAACAGACTAAATGTTGGGGGTCTTTGCTGGTGCCAGTTCAGCTCCATTTTCTAACCACAGAGTGACACCTCTGGCTCATACACGATCTGTGCGCGGCTGCACAGCTCTCATGCCTGCTGTTGTATCTGACTCCGGGAGGATGGACGATGTGTCGTTGGGGTGAGTTGGCTCAGCGCTAGGGATTATTTAGTAAAGCTGTGATTCACGCTGCTTCTACATCTGTTGGGTAACATTTCACCCCACATGATCCACCGGTCATAAACCCAGCGCAGACAGCACGAGAGCTTTCTCCCAGCACACCAACTCAAGCTAGCCTTGTTGACTAGTTAGCCTCGGTGAGTTAGCTAGCATCGCCTGCTGCCCAGCTGATGCAGTTAAGTTGCTAACCAAACTCCAAGTTAACATGTAGACAGCTGAGACATCTTTGCTGACAGACAGTGACCTGAATGTAGTCCGCCTCCCAAAATTATGTATTACCACGAGCTGAGCGGTGATTAATGGCAGTTAACGGAAGCTATCATATGTTACCAGTGAAGTTAAATGATTAGCGATGCTAACAGCTAGCCTGCATGTTAACTTGACGCTCAACAAATTCAAAACATTTTCTATTCAACTTTTTAATATTTGGACATAAAGAAGTTTTGTGTAAAACCTTCAGAGTCACGAGTACACACTGGTTTGTTTACTGGCTTGTGCTGTTGTGAATTAACATGTTATTTCTGTGGTTAAAGCTGTATGTCTTCAAACTGTGTGGACAAAAGACAGAAGTGTCAAGATAAAATACATCTATGTTCACTCACAGTGGAAACAGCCTTCTGGTTTCTTACTGACAATGGTATTAAACCTTGTTAATGTCCCCTTAAATCAAGTCTGAGTAATGACACACTTTGTTTCCTCCCTGCCACCTGCTCTCAGGTGAGCTCAGGTCACATCAGGTTAACTGTTAAACTTAAATCTTAATTTACATGTTGTCAGTGTTAGGATTCAAAATGGCGTGGGGGAAAAGCAGCATATTTTCCTGCTGTTTCATGAAACACTGGGCAACAACAGGAAATGTTTTTGCTTTTACTCTTTTCTTTGTGTGCCTGTGTGAGGAGGGCTTAAAGGATCAGGCTGGCAACATCCTGTATTGTCAAGAAAACCAACAATAAGTTCGTACCTGTCGTTAGCCTAAATATTTCTGTGTCACATCCGTGATGTGGACATCATACTTGTCCAAAAACACATCAGTGACAGGTCATTAAAAAGTCTTAAAATGTCTTAAATTCAATGTTACAGCTTTAAGGCCTTGAAAGTCATTAATTAGTCATTTAATAGTCCACATTTCTCATGTTACAAACCTTTAACAAACTATAATACTGTCATTTTACTTCATACCTGCACTTACCTGTTGTCAAAATATAGATTGATTTAACTCACTCTGATAACCATATTCCTACATAACACCTACCTCTGCACAAGACCACATATATGTTATTGACATATAACATGATGTGTCCAAAAAATCTGTCATAAATTTGGTTTAAAAAGTGTTTTGAACAGGTCTTAAAAAGCATTAAATTCAACTGTCTGATACCTGTGGACCCTGAGTGAGCCACAAATTTCAACTTATTGGGCGGAGAATCTTTCCTTAGTTTTAGTTGTTATCAAAGGTTGGACTTTTTACACATACTTCCATTAAAGGGGTCTCGGTTTACGTGGTCTTGACTACATCACTGCTTTGTTGTCACGTAATTGAAATAGTCTCAATTAGCTACTGTGATTGTGTTTTGCGTTTGGATATTGTCGCAGTCAGAAACTCCAGGCTTGTCCAGTCCAAACTTGAACTTGAAGGCTGACGTGAGAAGTAGGGTTGCAGCGATATACCAGTTTCAAGGTATACCGTGATATAAAAGTTGATGGTTATCATACCAAGTACATTTGCTTATCTACGATACTGAAAAAAAAATATGCATCTGAACGTTGAATCTCCCCTTTATTTCTGTTATTTTCAAAGGAGAGACTTTTTACACAAACTTCCATTAACAAAATGGTTCCAAGCTTCACTTACAGTAATAAAACATACATACACCGTCCTGTTGCTGTGAACACTCACCACTGTACCAAATGTGCGTTAATCCAAGGCTGAAAATAGTCTAACAAATGCACTATGTACTGCTGCTTAACATTAGCAAAAAAAAAAACCTACAGTGACCAGCTGTTGTAGGACCTTATTTGACCATATACATGTGAGGGGATTTTAAATATAAAATTCAGTAGAAACAATTGGTTTTAGTGCTGAGAGGCCCAGATGGGGCAGGGAGGTCAGAAAGTCCTGAGAGATGGACTAACGCATTGTTGGTTTTGGTCTTGTCATGATGTTTCATGGTGTCCTTAAAGTCCCTGTGATTTAAAAATATGATTAAAGAATGTGGGTCGAGAAATAGTGTCACACAATTATCTTGAATACGACAGGGATCCTCAGTTAAACAGGCAGGCTTCAGTGATTATTCAGTGCAGTGAGGACGTCGGTAAGGTAACTTGCATCAGTTTAATACATTAGCTTTACAAATAATGGGTCTAGAGGTGGGCGATATGGATTAAATCTTATTATACGACTATAGGTGTGATTTTAGTTCATGTCAGGGATGCACTTATCCAACTTTTTCTCTGCAGTGCGGAGGCAATGAGGCAATAAAACAGTCTCATGTGACTGAAATGTAACTGACTGAGGAAGCACTTTATTGTACAATGAAAAAGAAGCTATATTTGATTATAATTTGCCTGATCAAATTGGTATCAGAGCTGATACCAGTATCGATCCAGTGTATTTGATTGGTGCATCTCTAATAACAATATATATCGTGAAAATGTGATATAGTACATTTTCGTAAAAGTCAGTTGAGACATGATAAATAGACACGATACCAGTATCTTTTTTTGCTCTAATCCTGTGAGGTCACCTGACAGATTAAGGCTTTTAATCACTGTCTTGCAACAAAAATCTGATCCAGTATTGCCTTAAATTTCAAGCCAATTTTATCTACAGTCCGGTTACGGTCATTTTTACAGTTACAGTCTTTTCAGTGGTAGAACACCATGTTGAAGACAGTGACAAAACAAGTATGATCAAAACACTGACTACTATTACCACTGTTATACAGTATCTTGTCCCCGTCCTATCGTCTTCTCATGACCCCAGAGATGAACCAGAGAGTAGTCTAACTGTTGGGTCACCATTTATCTCCACTGATCCAGACACTGCTTCTCTTGTCTCACCAGTCTGGTGGCCACACCGGCCTCGCCGCGTCCACACTGTAACACAGACTCAGAGGAGGACACGGTGAATGGAGGGATGCACACCTTCAACCAGACCCACATGAGGAAGGCATTCCAGCTGATGAACGAACTGAGGAGGTGTGTAGTTTGTCCCTACAGAAGGACTGTAGCCGGTGTACATTTTTTCTTGTTCTCTAGTGTCTGTTTATCATTACACACCAAAACACCAAGACAGATGTGTTGTGTGCACAGACCCCATTAAAATAAAACTGTTTCTGATATTTTATTTCTGATTCTGATATGGCCATTTTATGAAAACCTTCAACTGCATTACATCCACACAGTCTAGAGGAGTTTTAAAGTACAGCTCTGTAGATTATCACTTTATTTGGCACATTTTCTGGCAGCCGTCCCGTTCATACTTGGCTTTTAGAGATGCTCTCTTTTCCCTGGCTCATGTCTGCGTATTTATTTTTACAGAAGCAGTTATCACAAACATTTTTTCACTCTCACTTTCTGCCTCTCCTTGGGCTGCAGTAAAAAGATGCTGTGCGACGTCCAGCTGGTGGCGGGGAGTGTTGAGGTGCCGGCTCACAGGGTGGTTCTGGCGTCCTGTAGCCCCTACTTCTGTGCCATGTTCACAGGTATACACACACACACATGCTGTTGTTTGTGTTATGTCTGATGTGTGAGTGGGCTGGCATGTGTCTAATTGTGTGTTTTGTAGGTGATATGAGTGAGAGCAAAGCCCATCAGGTGGAGATCAGAGAGGTGGATGGACAGACTCTGAGGAAGCTGGTGGACTACATCTACACGGCTGAGATAGAGGTCACAGAGGACAACGTCCAGGTGAGTGTGTGTGCTAGAGTGAATTAATGACAAGGAAGGGAGTGAATGAAAAAGCATTTCCCTGTCTTTATACAGTTCTTTTTTCTTGTGTCACGGCGACTTCGACCTCGTTTCCAATATATCAGCAGCAGTAACAGAATTAGCGGGACGTTGACACAATTCTCATTATGTAGGCTTTTTGTGAGTTGTATCCCTCTCAGCTTTTCCTCTCCTCTGTTGGAGGGTTCAGCTGTTCCTACCAGGGAACAAGCATTTAGTTCACCATTTTGCAATTTGGATAATTAAATGAAGTAGTGCTGCAGCTCCCAGCCAAAAAAATCTGGGTTCTCATTTATAAAACAGCGTGTAGGACTCATACTAAAAGTGTATGTGCGGACAAAAGCAGAAAATGGTGTGCAGCAAAAAGGATTCTGATTTATAAAACCATGCATACACCTGCCAGAACGCAGTTTTGTTTTATAAATCCCAAATCAACTTGTCTGCACGTGGATCAGCCTCATATCCCGCCCTCTACACGCCCACATTCAACCATAAATGGTCACTGCAAAGCACCTCAGGAACACTGGTGCACAGAAATGAGCCTGCTGATCTTTCGGACTTTACGGGTCCAGCGTTTTCCAGCATTTTAATCAGGAAAGTCGTTTTTTGTAGTAAAAGACCCCGTAGACATGGTATGATTTAAGGAGGGTAATGAATCCATAGTCGAATAGAGAAGCCCATTGACGTCTAGCTGGTGGTGGTGGTAGAGGTAGTGAAGATGAAATGAGAAGAAGATGGAGAAGTGCTGATGATCTGGATGAGTAGAGGAATGAGCCTTCATTGAGATCCTCCTGAACTCTGGATACGATGGCTGGAGGTGCGAAAATTCTGCCTAAAATGAAAGCTGACAGCAGCAGAGGAGAGAGTAGATTTAAAACTTTGCAGTAGCATACTGATTGGCTGACAGAGATCGTGGCGAAGTTTGACTGGATAACTAGAAGAGTACCATAGTCAGCTGATTAAAGGAAGCAGTGGGAGTGGGACGGAGAGAATTGTGAATGGATGAGCACAAAGAAAGTCTTCCTGATTGAACTTACGCTGAGCTTCATTTAGACTCATTGTTTCATACGGTGCCAAAATAATCCAGACAATCGGTTGTATCCATCACGCTGGGATATCATTTAAGGATGAAAGTTTGACAGGCAAACACAATTTCTTCATTTATTTATTTAAGTTTGTTGCGTCGATCTTGGCCTGTGTGATGATTAGGACTCAGAAATTAAGATATGGAGTTTAATAAGTGTGTGAAGATGTACGTAAGTGGACTGGAGAATGAAAAGTGTGTGGCAGCCACAGCGGTGTCTCCAGTGTGCTCTGTGCACAAAAAAGCCATGTTCACTGCAGCGACTTTATGCCCCAAAACTATATGAAAACTTGGTGATATATATTTACAGTATCGGAGGGTATATATATTTTTTAAAGACATTTTTGTGGCCTTTTGCCTTTATTTGATAGGACAGCTATAGTGTGAAAAGGGGAGAGAGAACAGGGGAAAGACATGCAGTACAGGTTTGATTCAAACCCATGGATGCTGCAGCAAGGACACAGCCTTTGTATATGGGGCACCTGCTCTACCAGGTGAGCCAGTGGGCCTTGATGTGCACGTCAACAGCTGTGACGTGCTCCACAGCTGAGTGTCGGCAGCAGTCTGGACCTCTCCTCTGCGCTCCACGGGTGTGAATGTGATGGTGAGACAGCGCTGACGAAATAATGAGTGTAATTCAGTGTGAGATTTGAGTTGGCTCATCATATTTATAGTTAAAATGTGCTTATGGAAAATTTATGGCTCAGTAGCACAAATAAAACGGCTGGACTGAATGTTAATGATAACGTGGATCCGTAAGTAACAAGGCATATGAGGCGAAATTAAATGTGTGGAGGTGTAATGATTGCTCTCACATTTAATTTCTACAATCTGGCTTCAATCCACCACCTCACCGTCTGCGTCGCCAGTTTCCTGTCTCCAAAATATTCATACACATGGGTCAGAGTTTCCCTACAAGTGTGTACACTGTGCCGTCAGGTTTGGCGTACGCCTCTTTCAGGCCTCTTTTTGTGTGTACGCAGTGTTTTGAAATGACACCCCTGGGCTCAGAGCTTAAGTCACACAGTTGTAAAGTTTTCTTGTTTTTGAGAAGGAAACTTGTCTTATAGCAGCTGTCTTGGGTACAGAGGAAAAGTCAGAGTAACAACATAACAGGCTGGTGTTTAACACTAACAACCCCTCCAGGTTTCACAAGAGTGAAACTGCCAACAATCGTTAACTTGAAGAATTTCAGAGAGGTTTCCTGTGTGCCGTGAATACAGTGATTGTAGCTGTTTCTAACCTAATGTTTAGTGGTTGTGAAAGTGGATAAGACAAAAGAATACAACCAAGATAAGATTAAAATCTAGTTTGTGAATGAGCCTCTCCTTTACTTTCAAAACAGACTTCTACATCAGGGTCATTTTGAGATTTCAAGGGAGGAATGGTACAGCTATTGCAGCTTTCATTGGAAGTGCATTAATTCATATACATGGAGAGACTTTGGTTGGAAATGTCAAATTAGATTCTTCATTACCCAAAAGCAGAAAGCACACGCTACAGGAGAGGCTCCCAAGTGCTGGAGATTGTGTGGGAGCCAGGATGCAAATCACTGGCATGTATTTTGAGAGTGCCCTGTACTAAGACAGTTCTGAGATGCACAAAATACTGGAAGGCATTTTAACATAAAAATACCTTCTCTATTTTATACTTTTATTTTGGGAAAAGCTGACTTTCAACCTGGACATTTAAATGAATACTTAGTCAGTGTTTTGATATCCGCTGGTAAGAAAACCATCACAAGACCCTGGCTGCTTTCTGACCTGCTCAGGAATGGTGCGAGGAATGTGACAAAGTGCTCAAGGCATCGACCTGGCCTGCAAATTCCCCAGATCCCAATCTGATCAAACATCTGTGGGACGTTATGGTACCCCACCTCACAACCCACAGGACTCAGAAGATCTGAAGCTAACACCCTGGTGCCAGACACCAAGGGACACCCTCCAGAGGTCCTGTGTCCATGCCTTAACAGGTCAGAGCCAAGTCCAGTCCAAGGAGCGCCCACCGTGGATCGGGGGTACCTCTTGGGTACCAGCACATGTTTGAGGGTCAGGTTGAGATCTGGGGTATTTGGAGGTCAGATCGACGCCTTGAGCTCTTTGTCCCGTTCCTCGGGTCATGTCTGAGCAGTTCTTGTGATGTGGCATGGTGCATTTTCCTGCAGGGCAGACACTGCCATCGATAAGTGTCGCTGCCATGAGGGGGTTTATTTTGTCTGCAACCGTGTTCGGGTGGGTGGAGCATGTTAAGTAGCATCTACATGAATGCCAGGACCCAAGGTTTCCCAGCAAAACATTGCACTATTGCAAGATGATCAATGTTGTTCACTTCACCCACCAATGGTTTTAATGTTTTGGCTGATCGATTTTAAAGTCGTCTGAGTTTTGTCTTATCATAAGGGAAATTGTTCCCTTTAAAATCCACCTTGAAACTTAAGTTAAAGCGTCTTTAGCTTCTTTACTGTGACATATTTTTCAGTGAAACAGAATATTTGAGCGGTGTACAGTTACAAGAAGCATTTAGATCAAATCCTTCGCGTTTTATTGGACCACTAAAAAGAGGGTGGGCTTAGAGTTTGCCGCGATACGGAGCTACAGCAGACTGGTGGCTCCACACACACGTCCCTTGTCGTTAGATCAAGAGAGAAGGAGAGATGAATTAATTACACCTCTGCCACATGATTTTGGAAATGAAAACAAAGTGTTAGCCCACTGATATCCAAACACACATCTCTCTCCATATAAATCTGTTAGCTGCTGCATCCCACAAATGGTGAAGTGTGGTTTTATATGACCGGTGTGGGCAGCTTGTTGCCCTGAGTCTCATTTGATTGCATGAACTTTTGTAAACGCTCCTGAATGCATGATGAGTCATCAAACATTTGAAACCTTTTTATCTGGTTTTACAGAAAGAGAAGAGACAAACATGTACAAACACTCTGATAGGGAATTTTTTAAACATGGGTTTGGCATATAACGAGATAAATAATCAGTTAATTCAGGGACACAGGATAACAACAGGAACAATGTATTCTTCATTTCATGTGGACACTGAGGCCTGATTGCTTTAACGGGTTTGTTTTTTTTTTTTTTCTGTTAAATTTCAGACCGGCTGAAATAACCCTGCGTGAGGAGCAGGTGTTAATCACAAGAGATGTTGGAGCTGGTAATGGTTGTGAGCTGTGTGTTGCTGTGAAAGCACTGGATTTGAGGCCTTGTTTGTGTCAGTGGTATTAACTCGGGGTAGCTGCATGGCTCTGACGCAGGCTCGAATAAATGCAGCAGGATCAAGCTTCAGGCAGGATACTTCCTCTGATTATTAGCGCAGGAAGTGTGCATGGAGAGAAGCAGGAAATCCTCCCACTGTTAGCAGTGTGCCTGCCTGATTGGCTCATTCGTGAGTGTGTGTTTTGACTAGTGGCTCGTTTTCAGTGAAAGACTGTTTTTACTCTTCGTTTCTTCTAAGTGTGTTTTCACTGTACAATGAATGTGTTGTTTGTGCTGCCTCAGTCCTCTGTGTGTGTGTGTGTGTGTGTGTGTGTGTCACAGCTGCTGTAAGCAGAGGTTTAGTGGGCCTGATGCTCTCTTTTAGGAGGCATAAGGCTTCAGGGCAGCTGTGCACAGACAGCAGAGGAGACAGTGACAATACACACTCAGAGGATGAGTGAGTGTGTCAGCAGAGACTGTCTCACTGACCTAGTTAAGTTTACGTGTCGGGATGTAGCAAAGGACATCTTTGTCTGGTAGCATCATGCCTTTAACAGTACACTGACTGCCTGCTTTGCCGACTAACAGACTTTCAGGATGTGCTCTTCTGACGTCCTCCAGTGAGGTGCTGCAGATACACACACGCAGGCTTTGACACCGCTCTCAGCTCCAGGTTAAAGCAGCTGTTAGCCCAGGGATAAAAAAGCATTCACACTGGTTCATTCCTGACAAATTCCAAGTGAGCTGACCCCAACTTTAGCCCTGGGCCTTGCTGAACCTGCTCCAGAGCAGGGTTAGCCCTGAGTTTTCAGGGTTATATCTGAAAATGGACTTGACCCGAGGCTAAAAGTTGCTAGTGTGAAAGAGAGCTCAGTAAACAAGATTTTAATGTGTTAACATGACACAACTGTCAGTTAACCCAGGGTTAGTGGAAGTGCAGTGTGAATCATGTAGCTGTGGGCTGAGGTTAACCCTGTGTTAACAATGGGTGTGAAAAGGGGATAAATTAGCCCAGGGTTAACACTTAGCTTAGAGCTAAGGATAGTCCTGGGCTAAGACAATGCAGCGTGAAAAGCCAAGCAGACATCCATTCCTGGTCTGTTACTTTGTAAAGTGAATGCTGTACTTTACTTTCTGTTATTTACCTCATGATAGCTGTGATTAAATGATAGCTGTGACTTTCTGTACTTTTAAAATCCTGTCTATGAGTACTAGTGCCAGTGTCCAGTGTTTTCGTGGCTGAGAAACCCTCAAACTCAAGGATCAGTGTCATGCCTGTTTTTTGGCCCATCCCACATGGGATTACAAGACACTGTTGTTGCTGTTTTTAGTTATTATTTTCCGGTCTTGTAATGTGATAAAGGAAAAGAAGAGAAACAACAAAATCAAAACCCAAAACATCTCACATTAAGTATTCACATGAGAAACCAGCAAACATTCACAGGTTATCATGATAAAGATCTTTCTGTCTTTTCTCCAGATAACTGGCTAATTTGTGTGTTTCACATGTGAACAGCCATACTAAACAAAGCATCACACAGTTCAGAATAAAAGAAAATCTCCATCAACGACAGAGCTGGATTATGGCTGAGCATATCTCACACAATATTTGATCTCACATCACAGTGTCAAGATGATTATTTTTAATTCACTCTTGCTGGCACATGCAATGCAAATGCGATGTGTTCTCAGGGTTTTTGTACTGCAGCAAACACACCACCAACATCATATTTTTTTCAAGGGCACAGGGCCAAATGAGGAGGGCACGAGAGCTAGGGCCCTCTTGATGTGTTTGACAGTTATAGTAACTTTAGTGCCGCTACAGAACCCATTCAATGGGCATTTTGACCCGAAAACGAAAATATGCTCAATCTTAAAAATGGCTTTTCAGTCGTAGTTATGGTTTTAAACTAAAGTTTGACTCGGTTACATTCACAAAAACACCCTAGGTTGCATTTTGGCAAGAGTTTTGCTCTTCAGGTTAGCTAGCAATGTTAGTTAGCATTAGCAAACATTTAGCTTACCTGTCCAGAAGGAAAGCGGCGACCTCTGCGTGGCTTTTGAGCCCCTTTTCTTCCTTCAGCTGGCACCAACGCTCAAAAGCTTGACCGATGTTCACTCTGGTCCTGCTTCGTTGTTGGTCTGCTCGAATTTGAGACATATAACGCCGACACGATGCCATTTCTCACGATCACGAGTTATCACGATCTGGCGACCCCTGAGCTCCGCCTCACGTGACATCAACGTACTAATGCTATTGGCTCAGGGATCATTTCATGTCGACGTAGCCAACGTAACCAGATGTAAATATTTATATATTTTGGACCCGTCAAAATTTTTAAAACAATTATTTCTATATTATAATATTTTTTTTCAGTAAAATTAATACTTTTATTCTACACCCCTCTAAACGTTCTGTGGATGTATTATTTTTTTTAAATTATTCGTTTTGATGAAAAAGTTGTAGCTATCACCTTTAATAGTGTTAAGACCAGTTGGAGGAGCTTGCATGGAGATGTCATGGTGAGGCTGGAGAGCTGTGGCCAAAGAGTGCACTTAAAGAAACGCTATTAGTTCAATAACACTATTGACATGTTGCAGTTGAGGGTGATTTAGGTGTTTTAATGATTAAGTCTGCATGAAAAGTTGTTGTTCAGCCTCTACACACTGCACAGATCAAAGCTAAATCCAGGGCTTTGTTGAAGTTGCAAACTCAGTATTTTCCTTGTGCAGATGATCCATAATTGGATTCATTTAGAAGTGTCTGCTTGATTTATGGACAAATTACTAAGGTCATATATCTCTGTGGTAATGCAAGGCTTGACGGACTGAATGGTAACAGCTTGGCATGTTGGTTGAGTTGCTGGTTAGTTAATGAAAAAACTAACTGACTGACCAGCTGCATCTGTTGTGTGGGACTAGATGTTAATATCCCTTATTGCACACTTGAGACACTGCTAGAGACTCTGTGGGATGGTCAAGTGAGAGGTGGCATCCTCTGGGTTATCAAGTGGGCGCCCTCCTTCCTTGGTGTTTCGCTAATTGGCCCACGACACCTCCAGAGGGTTTAGCAGTGAATCCCAGCGTTCCAGGTTCACCCCCTAGATGCCATCTACTCATTTGAGGGCCCAGGTGGAGTCCTTCCTCTTTATCCAAAGCCACTGACTCCCCTTTTCAGCGGCTCTGGAGAGGTCCTTGACCGCCTGCCGGTGGGCCTTCCCTCGCACACCCATCTCCCGGAGTAGCCTGGATGTTGAGGTGGCTACAAACCCTCTGCAGCCGACTTCCACTGGTCGTACCTTCACTGTCCAGCCTTGTTGTTGTACATCGGCTGCAAGCTCAGCGTACCTCAGCTTCTTGCGCTCGTAGGCCTCCTCCACTGCACTCTCCCAGGGCGCTGTCAGCTCGATAATGTACACGTACCTGAGCGAGGCTGACCATAGCACAGGTCTGGTTGCAGGTTGGATGTGCTCTCAGCTGGAAAGCAGAGCTTCTGGCCCAAGTCTGCCAGCAGCTTCCAATCCTGTGCCCTGCCTAGCTGCCCAGTGTCTACATTGTTGAAGTAATAACTTGTTTGCATGAAGCATAGATATTTGGGTAAACCAGCAGCTAACTGACGGCTGATGGCCCACCAGCAGATGGAGACATGAAATACAATACTTTTCAATGTATGTAATTATTAATTGTGCAAAACAAAGCTAACGTTGGCCTATACAGATGACGCACCGTTATTATCGTGCACGGCTAGTTCCTAAATCTTTGGCTGTGGATTATTAATAATTGTGCTCTCATGTTATTTTAAAACACTTTTGGCATGTTCGACTCAGTAAGATGACCCGTCACTTTCTTCCAGTAAAGTTTTAAACTGACTTCATATGTGTGTGTTCTCACTGCAGGTTCTGCTGCCAGCAGCCAGCCTCCTCCAGCTGATGGATGTTCGTCAGGTCTGTTGCGAGTTCCTGCAGTCTCAACTTCACCCCTCCAACTGTCTGGGCATCAGAGCCTTCGCTGACCTGCACACATGTACGCAGCTTCTCAACCAGGCCCACGCATACGCCGGTAAGCTTCTTGATGTTCACACCACAGATTTTGAGTCATACTTGTCACTGTGTGTGTGTTTCTGTATGTGCAGCGTGTTCTGTGGTGGTACTTTATGTAACAGTTTCTCCAGCCATTAAAATGCCTCTTTGAAAAAATGCTATGTCATGTTGTTAGTGAGTTTTAGATATCGGAAATAACTGAGGCATCTTTAAACATGTTTGAGCTTTGACTGATTAGTTTGCGTTGTGTGTAACCCTGCATGTTTGTGTCTCTCAGAGCAGCATTTCTGCGAGGTGGTGCAGGGAGAGGAGTTTCTGAGCCTTTCTCTGCAGCAGGTGTGCAGCCTCATCGCCAGCGACAAACTCACTGTTTCCACGGAGGAGAAGGTCAGACAGCACGATGCACACACACACTTTGGCCCTTTAAACAAACAAAAGTTTTCCTCTCTCCATGTGGGTGAACAGATATGTGAGAAATATGTTACATAAGGAACACAAAACAACAGAGATAAATATAACCAGATCAAGAAATTATGCTTATAGAGGGAGCTGAGAAGGATCTGTAGTTGTATTTAAAGACATGCGCCCTCATCATACGTCTCATGGGCTCAGCTTGGCAGCAGACGTATTCCATTCTGTCACTGTTAGCCAGTCAACAGGACGGGTTTGAAGGAGCATCTGTGTGTCATCCTGCTGTCAGCAGCAGCAGTCACCGTGACTGAGACACAGAGGGACACTGTCATACTGTTCACTGTCAAACTGGACGCCACAGTCAGTCACCATCTGCTGCATTTATTCCAGCTGGATCGATAGAAAAGTGTAGTCACTAAGTTCATTTGCTTTTACTTTACTTTTTAACAGGAGTGGGACAGACATTTTTTGCTTTGGTTGACACAATTCTGTGACACATTTTGAGACTGTTAAGACGTTAAAAAAAAGGACCCTAATTTTTATTTTCATTGCATTACATAGATATAGTGGATGCTGAAACCATGCAACATCAAACAGTTTATAGCTCCTTATCTAATTAGCTGAAGTGTATTAAAGGAACACTTCACCCTCAGATGACCATTTGTATTTCAGTTACTTACTCCATGTTTCATTGAAGGAAACTTTGTTTTTCTCACATGCTTTCATGGTACACAAAGAATCCAAAAAGTCAGAAAATTCTTGATGAATTGAAGTCATAGGCAACAGCGTTTAACAGCAGCAAAACTATATCAAAACTTGTATTTACAAACTCTCACACAACTCGTGCGGTATAATTCCAAGTCTCATTTATTCAGTCGTAAGCTCAGTACTTCCCAAACAGACAGCTGTTTCCGAAGGGGAACTAAACAAAAAGTGAAACATATCTATGCTCTCTTCAAAGCCACACTCCACAGACCAAAACAGTAATTTTACCTCGCTAAACATGGGAGATGCTGGTCTACTACTGCCTCAATCATTTAGTTTGGTTATTGAATGAATTTGGTGTTTCAGGGGCCGTACTCAGGCCACATGTTTTAACCGACTGGAAACCATGAGGTCGGACGCTGGGCGCTATTTTTGTGCCTTTTTTGAGCCCGTTTTCAAGAGCATGGCACTAGGTTGCATCAGGGGTTGCTAAGCAACCTTAAGAAGCACCATATCATAGCCTATTTACCTGAGATCCCGAGTGCAGAGCTGGTCTTCTTCCAGGTGCTGTTTATAAGTGTGTAGACCTATCGTCTGTGGGACAGATGTAAAGCTCTGGGTAGCCCTGCACTGACATGATCAACTTTTCATATTTATCACAGACAGATATTTAAAAAGAAAGGAAAAATATCTGTCGGCTATGATTGGTTGTTCCTTGTCACATGACATGTGGTATGTGCTGTTGCCTTACAAAAGTTGAACTCTGTTTATCTTGGGGCGTAGTCATCGTGCCTTGAAAATAGGCACTTGGGATTGTGTGCACGCCCTGATGGTGTCGCTCTGGCATTTGAGTGGTCATTCTGGCTGTCTTCATTGAGAACAATGAATTTGAGGGCACAAAATGCGGCATGTGTATGGCCCCTTCAAAGGTTAGTTAAGATTTACCAAAGCCACAAAATAACACAAACAACTCTAACTACCCATTGAGGCAATGGTACACCAGCAGCTTCCTTGTTCAGAGAGGTAAACTGATACAACTGATTAAATTAGACTTGAATTATACTGCATGAGTTTGTGAGAGTTTGAAAATGTATTTTTTTTAATATAGTTTTGCTATTGTTAAACACTGATGCCTCTGACTAAAAAATCATCAAGAATTTTCTCCATTTTTGGATTCTTAGCTCATGAAAGGCATGCAAGAAAAAAAACAAATTTTACTTCACAAATTCAATATACCATGGGGGTGAGAAACTGATAATGAAATCGTCAGTGTTGGGCGTTAAGTATTCCTTTCATGTTTATATTACCTTTTATTTCATTGTAATTGCCAGAGATGGTGGCATTGCAGCTGTTTTGCCACTAGATTGTAGACACACAATGTAGTTGACGATGCCCTGATATCTCTGACTCATAATTACAGAGATTACCAGGCTGTGGTGTAGTCGAAGAAGAAATACTAACTGTATTTTGTACAACACACACACAGATAAAAAATAATACAGTCTGCATTGTATTATGTTACACATGTGTGTTTATGTTTGTGGCCTGTGTTCATCTCAAGTAAAAGTAGTTCACACAGTACGTTAATTGAGTAAGTTCGGTCAACTAGTTTGAACCCTGGAAGAGAACAAGGTGTTGGGAGTGGTCGATTAACGGCCATCTGTCCCTCAACTACCGTCGTTGTTGTCCCTTTGTGCACCACAGGATGGGCACTCAGTCCCTCGTTTGCCTCTAGTGGAGCTGCTCCACAGGCCAACAGGAGACGATCAAGTATCAATGTGTGTAAATCAATGAATATGAAGCTGTAGATTTTAGTTGGAACTGAGCAGAACAAAGGTCTGCCACCTCTGTTATACTGAGGTCCTGCTGGGAGCAACTGTGAGCAGTCGATATCAGTATTTAACTATGAAAGAACTCAGTATCTACAGGGTGGACACTTCACACCATCAGTGAGTTAAATCATCTAAATTGTCGGGTGTGTCAGTTCATTGAACAGCGTCTGAAACCCTCTGTTTTCAAACCTTTCCAATGACACAATCAGTGTCTCCAATATTTTTCACAGATTACTGACTCTGACAGGTCATTTTATTATTAAGTTAAAGTAGGAAACATTAAAAATGACGTTGTAGAAGAAATCTAAATCTGTTTTAACATTTGACCCTATATGCATATTATCTCTGTTTCCGCCTGACCTGTTCATGCTGCTGTCTGACTCTGTGCTCCATCTCTCTCTCTCGTAGGTGTTTGAGGCGATGATATCTTGGATCAAGAATGATAAGCCAGCTCGTCTGGAGTACATGCCCAAACTGATGGAGCATGTCAGACTTCCACTCCTGTCCAGGGATTACCTGGTACAGGTAAAAGAAATTCTGCTCTGCTCCACTTCCTCTACATTCTTCACTGTTTTTTCTTTGTCACCCTTCTATGCTGTCTGCATTGTTGTACATGTTTACAGTCATACAGAACGATTGGCCCCTGAATGTGGTGTAGGCTGTAAGTAACACTTGTGTGTGTGTGTGTCAGTCAAGATTCTCAGTCATCCAGAACATATGATATCCAGTAAAACCACAGTAAGTGAAGGCCTGAAGATTTTCCGCTAGTCCAGAGTTTTTAAGAACCCTCTTGTGTGAGTGAAAACAAATCCATCTAACTCCAAGTTCAGTTCCCTTCCTGCTGCATCCAGATGTGAAGGTCAGTCGCGAAAAGAATGTTAAGAAGAAATACAAGGTGAAGAACTGCAGTGACTGAACCAAAACTCAAACTGAGTGTAGCTAATTTGTTTTCTGTTTGAGTTTGGTAGATCTGGTATGGCATGATTCACTCTTTGTTCTTGTACATACTGTACATTACTCAACATGTTACCAAACCAAGTAAATAGGTGTCAAGTCGGTTTTTTTCAGTAAGCTCTTGTCACTGGGGTAGGGGATTGTAGAAACCAATGAACAGGAAACGGTTTGTGGTTTCTAAACATCATTTTACAAATATGCATGTGCATGATAAGAGTTTGCAAATAGGGAAAGTAACAACTATAGTCAGACTAAAACTCAGGGGCCAGTTGCACAAAGCACGTTAAGTTTGCTCCTTAGTTATGACTCTTAAGGCTTACGTGAAATACCTCCCTAATAATAACTGGAAAGATCCTGTTGCATAAAACCTCAGAAATGAAATGTAAAGGGTCTGGAAGAGCACAGCTTTGTAAAGTTGAGTGATCCAACTTTAGACGGTCACAATCATAAACTGACTTGTGGTGAAATTTAAAGTGCAAAATAAGTTGCTCATCATTAAGCGTGTCCATCGTGTTCTCCTGGTCGTCGAACACTCTTCTCAGGATGCTTTAATCTTTCTAATTTATCTCCATAAACTTGACCATGTTGCAGTTAAGATGGAGTCAGAGGTACTTAATGTTTTTGTCGTTACTTTGGTTACTAAGGTTCTTTGTGCAGCGGTTTAACAAACTTTAAGCAATTCCTTAAGTATAAGACCAAGATCAGGACAAAAAACTTAAATCCTTAAGTAAACATTTAAGGAAACTTTAAAGACTAGGATGTTTTGTGCAACTCATCTGTTTTTTCAAGGACACCTTCTTAAAATCTTAACCTAAAAATAAATCTTAAGCTTTAATTGGTGATTTTTAACGAGGGAAAGCTATTCTCTGTCACAGTCATTCCTTGGCTGCAGTGATGGTACATTGCCTGCATTTTGGGTTTCTACTAGAACAGGTTTGAGCCTGGAAATGAGCATTATAGGTCCACTTTAAATTCAGACACATTTGCGCTGCTGTGAGGAAGAGCTCATCAGTCTGCTCCTGCACAGACACAGACTGCTAACAAGCAACAAAAAAGGCAGGAAGTCATGTCCTCTCTCACCTCTGCAGTGAGAATAAGTCACAGTGGTTCCCAGGTAAGGTTGAGGACTGGGAAGAAATCAGATCACTGACCTGCTGTAACCTGGTTACTCAAGAACATTTAAATGCAGAGTCCTGTGTCGTTAATTTGTTTGGTAAATAAGTGAAATTTACCTCAGGTGTGATCCCTGTTTCAGATCGTTGAGGAAGAGGCTTTGATCAAGAACAACAACACCTGTAAAGATTTCCTCATAGAAGCGATGAAGTATCACCTGCTGCCAGCTGACCAGCGGCACCTCATCAAGACAGACAGGACCCGACCACGAACTCCTATCAGCATCCCAAAGGTACACAAACACACACTGCTCAACAGGAACACGTAACACATAATAGAAGACGTGTATTTATCTATTGGTGAAGCTTCTCAGTCATTCAGGTCATGGTAATCTTAAGTGCTATATTGTAGGCAACTGGACTTGCTTGAGTTTCTTGAAGACGTTTCACCTCTCATCCAAGAGGCTGATCAGATCAGAACTGAAGAAGCCTCTTGGCTGAGAGGTGACACGTCTTCAAGAAGCTCAAGCAAGTCCAGTTGCCTACTATATAGCACTTGAGATCACACACACTACTGTATTTCAAATAACTGATGGTGACTCTGTGCATGTGCAGGTGATGATTGTCGTGGGCGGTCAAGCTCCGAAGGCGATCCGCAGTGTGGAGTGTTACGACTTTCAGGAAGATCGATGGTACCAGGTAGCCGACCTGCCTTCAAGACGCTGCCGGGCAGGTCAGTTTGTAGGACTGTGTGTGACCCATGTCAAAACAACTTTGACAAATGTAAAAGTAGATAAAATTGTTCTGAAATAAGTTGAAACTGTCTGAAATGTTTGACACTAATCTGAGAACTTGTTCTGTGCTTTGTAATGTAAGTTATAAACAATATGTTGTTTGTGAGCTTAAACAGACACAACCACTTGTACGGTCCTTTCATGGAGGTCAAATCTATTTCCTTACATCTTCATGTTATAACATTGTCCCATTTCCTTCTGTCTGTGTGACTAGGTGTGGTGTCCATGGGAGGTCGTGTGTACGCAGTCGGGGGGTTCAACAGTTCACTGCGGGAACGAACGGTGGACGTGTATGATGGAGTGAGAGACCAGTGGAGTGCGGTGGCGAGCATGCAGGAGAGACGCAGCACTCTGGGAGCTGCTGTGTTGGGGGATTTACTGTACGCTGTCGGGGGCTTCAACGGCAGCATAGGTACACACAAACACACGCACACACACACTTGCTCACACACTTAAGGGCTGTGCAATTACAACTGAAGTAGTTATTTGTGCCTGGATTTCCTTCCTGATGATCCCGTATATTTTTGCCATTTTGTGTGAGACTGAAACCGGGAAAACTAAAGACTGAAACGTGGAACTTGTAGTTTTACAATCTACTATTTGTAGTCCTGCAGTAATTGCTGATTTTGAGGCCTTGAGTGATGATGTGAATTATTTAGGCATGCTGAGATACTTCCATCCATCCATCCATTTTCATTCGCTTATCGGGGGCAGCAGGCCGAGCAAGGCACTCCAGACGACCCTCTCCCCAGCAACGCTTTCCAGCTCCTCCTGGGGGACCTCAAGGTGTTCTGAGGTTAGATGAGATACGTAATCCCTCCAGCATGTTCTGGGTCTGCCCCAGGGCCTCCTGCCAGTGAGACGTGCCCAGAACACCTTAAACGGGAGGCACCCAGGAGACATCCTGATCAGATGCCCGAACCACCTCAACTGACCCCTATTGACATGAAGGAGCAGCGGCTCTACTCCAAGCTCCCTCTGGATGTCCGAGCTCCTTACTCTATCTCTAAGGCTGAGCCCAGCCACCCCACGGAGAAACCTCATTTCGGCCGCTTGTATCCGTGATCTTATTCTTTCGGTCACTACCCAGAGCTCATGACCATACGTGAGGGTTGGGATGTAGATGGACTGAATCGAAAGCTTCGCCTTCCAGCTCAGCTCTCTCTTTACCACGACGATCCGGTGCAGCGCCCGCATCACTGCAGTTAAGAAATGTCTGGGTAAAATAAGTTAATGTGTGAGGTTGGAGCTTGCTCTGGTCTTGGTTGTGAGAGAGTTAAATGCTGACTTAGTTTCCCTGTCCTGTTGTTTCAGACCTGTTTTTCCCAGCTGGCTCTGCATCATTCTCTGTTGAGCAGAATATAATTGCTTGCAGTAGCACAGCCGCAGTGTTAACAGTAAACACAGGAGACATGGGAGCCATTTTCTTCTCTTTTCTTAGCACGTCTACCAGCTGGATGCAAAATGTTTACACCTACAGATGGATAAACACACACGCAATCTAACCTGTTAATGTTATTTAATCTAATCTGTTTGCCTTCCTGTTTTCTTCTCTCCCTCAGGTTTGTCCACAGTAGAAGCCCACAATTATAAAACCAACGAGTGGATATATGTCGCCTCCATGAACACCAGGCGCAGCAGTGTGGGTGTAGGGGTGGTCGATGGTAAGTCAGACGTGTGTGTGAGATCCAGATTACATCATGTGTGGTTTGAATGAAAAGACAAAATTTAAATGTCTCATATTTTAAAGGGACAGTTCACCTCAAAATCAAAAATAAATATTTTTTCGTCCTACCTGTAGTGTTATGTATCAGTCGATTGTTTTGGTGTGAGTTGCAGAGTGTTGGAGATATCTGCCTTCTCTTGAATATTATCGAACTAGATGGCACTCACCTTGTGGTGCTCAAAGAGACAAAACCACATTTGGAAAAACTCAATATCAATGTCTCTTTCCAGAAATCATGACCTGGTGACTCAAGATAATCTACAGACTTTGTTGTGAGCAGTTTTATGTAGGAATTATTTTCTTTCTACTGAACGACACCCTCCAACCATATCACAGAAGGATGTGTGCATCTAATCATGAATGAGAGGCTCATGACAGGGTGAGATGTAAGCATGAATGGCGTCCTTCTCAGCTGAGCTGTAATGTTACCTCAGTGGTGTTAGGTGAGCTAGCAGTAGATGCATGCTTCCTTATGCGCAGTGATACAGTTGGTGGATGTAGTGTGGTAGAAAGAAAATAGTACCTACATGAAACTGCTCACAACAAGGTCTGTGGATTAACTTGATTACTAGGTCATGATATCTGTAAAGCCTCTGACAGAGGTTTCCGATTTTAGTAATCTTCTAAATGTAGTGTAAGCTACACTTTGCAGCATGGATCTAATAAACTTGAGTGAAGACAGCAAGTTTGATGTATGCAGACAGTACGATGACAACGGCTACTAAATCGCATGCACAAAACATCATCAGCGTGTGTCAACCATCTACGCTGCTGTAGTGATAAGAGAAAAATGAAACATGAATCAAACCCTTGCTATAGTGGCATTTATGTGTGTCGAAGTCTGAAGAGGAGGAGGAGGAGAATATGGACGTGGTTGTGGCTGGGGAAGAGAAGCCAACTTGGCATGCCAATTTTGCAACGAGAGCACAAAGTGTATTTATCAGCATTGCCATCTACTAGCATTTAGCAGTGTCACGCTGATCAGTGCGTCATTTCATGCTGCATTTCTATTGGTTGATTAGTAGACGTACGTCATAACAGCAGTCACAGTGAAATGCCATCTACCCATCCATCCATTTTCATCTGCTTATCTGGGGCCAGGTTGTTCATCCTAAATTTCTGAATTTTATCCCAGGCTGTCTTTGATCACAAGACCCAAACAACGGCTATCCTTTACCCTCTCTTATTGTGCAACATACGACCACCGTTTAAGTGCCACAATCAAAGATATTGCCACATTTCATTCACGTTGGTCATCATTCATGTGGGACAGCCCAAATTGCACAGTGTATGCTGAGCTTAGAGACGTTACTGGTGAATTTTCAAATGTTTTTTTTTTTTTTTTTTTGGCATTTTGAGCACCACAAGCAGAGTGCCATCTAGTTATATTATATTTAAAAGATGGCAGAAATCTCTACAGCCGATATCTCCAACACTCAGGAACTCACACCAAGACAATCTAGACTGATAAGTAGCCCGACAGGTAAGAGGAAAAAAAATTATTTTTGATTTTGGGCTGAACTGTCCCTTTAAGGTGTGTGTGCATCTGTAGGTAAGCTCTATGCAGTGGGAGGATACGATGGAGCATCCCGTCAGTGTCTCAGTACAGTGGAGGAGTACGACCCTGTCAGCGATCAGTGGTGCTACGTAGCTGACATGAGCACACGCCGCAGTGGAGCAGGTACACACACACACACATGGACACACACTATATTCTACTCTACATACATGATACACAAAGGGAGCAGTAAAACAATACAGCTTTGCTCTGACTATGGTTTTCCAAAAGAGGTATTCACATGTTCACATACTGGAGATAAATCACTTTTAATTAAATACAGGTTTTTAATATTACTTTTCTGTTACATTTAGTCAACTACACAAGGTTCAGACTGTGTCTTATGGAGCAACAGCACCACCTGGTGGTCTGCAGCTGTACAAGCAAGATTCCTAGAAAGAACACAACTATTAGCAGTTCAATCACAGTGCTCACCCTGACAACATGAAGAAAAGTTACACCATCCTGCTTTGTTGAAAATAATTATAGTAATAATAATATATGTATCCAGTGTTTTGATTCACATATTAAAAACTAAAATCTTGCTTTTGTTTGTGCAGGTGTGGGTGTGTTGAACGGTCTGCTGTACGCAGCAGGAGGACATGACGGTCCTCTCGTGAGGAAGAGCGTCGAGGTGTACGACCCACAGAGCAACACGTGGCGACTGGTTTCTGACATGAACATGTGCCGACGAAACGCAGGTCAGATAACAGTCACAGATACATAGCAACCTTCAACCAGATGTTGCACATTGTTAGTTACTGCGAATACTGTCCATTTAAGAGACATCAAATGATGCGTGGTGGCCATTGCTTTTAATCTAACTTAAATTTCAATGGCTGCTTGATTTTTTTAACCTGTGGATTGAAGACTTTTACAACAGTGACATGATCATTGGTAATTATCCAGTCAGCAGCAATTATTTAGGATACAGAAGCTCATTGATTAAAGAAGATATGTTTTTAAGTTTACGTTGAGGGCACAAGTATATCAATAGCAGCTGTAAATTTGAGTGACATCTCAAATTTAAAAAATATCAAACTCTAGACTTGATCAGCTGCACTGACAATTGACTTTAAGGCAAGACATGTTTAATAATATAGCACATCATACACAGAAGCAATTGAAAGTGCTTTACATTAAAAAAGACAGAGAAACTGAATATAGAAAACAAAACGACTGAGAAGTTTTAAATGCATGAAATGAATACAAACAATAAATTATACAAAAAGACAGTAGGAGACAGAGTTCAGTTATTAGCAGGGATTAAAAGTAGAGGTGAATATAAAAGTCTTGAGGCTCTTGTTTTTTTAAGTAGCCAGCGTTGGGGAACATCAAGATCCTCTGGAAGTTTATTCCAGGTATGTGTAACATTATATGTGAAAGTAGCTTCACCCTGTTTTGTTGTAATCATAGGAACACTGAGCAGGCTGTTCTCTGAAGACCTGAGAGGGTTCATAGTGTGAAAGCCAGTCAGAGATGTACTTAGGCCCAAAATCATTAAATGATCAAACGCTAGTAACAATATTTTGAATTTTTTACATGTTGCAGGGCTGCATGGACAGTGAAATAAATGCACAAATGTGCATAGCTAACGGTGCACCTGGTCAGTCCACCAGTAAGAGTGACCTATGTATGAGGTGAACTAGTACGCATGCCTCGTTTTGCACAGAGGAAAACATGGACTAAAACGTTTACTCTTTTTGCACTCTATGCACATTTGCACTTTGTTTCACACTGCAACCCTGCAACATGTATAATAGAGATTTTTAAATTTTTTTTAAGTCTACCAGTGTACATTTATTTTAAACTCAATCCTGAATTATCAAAATAATGAGTCAAAGTAGGAAGATGTTAATGGGCAGAAAAGTGTATGAGGATTTTTTTTACGTGTGCATCTCTCTCCTCAAGGCGTCTGTGCCATCAACGGGCTGCTATACGTGATCGGAGGAGACGACGGCTCGTGTAACCTCTCCTCTGTAGAGTTTTACAACCCGGCCACAGACAAGTGGAGCCTCATCCCCACAAACATGAGCAACGGACGCAGCTACGCAGGTTAGTCCGATCATCACACCACACACAACAGGCAACATTTCTGCATCACAGAGAGAATATCATACATCTTACCTGTTCGTGTAGCTTCCTCTCACTCACTCTTCTCACTCCTACAGGAGTCGCAGTGATTGACAAGCCATTATGACCAGAGGCCTCCCACAGCATCAGCTCTGTGTCATCAGCCAGTTCCACAGAGACTCACACTGACGTCTGAATCGGTCCAAATGGACGGGACGCCCTCAATCCTCAGCTGACTTAATCAAGGAGGAAGAGGAGGAGGACTTTTTTTTGGCGCTAAACCACAAACTGATTTCGTTGCTTTGCCCATTTCTGTCACTGAGATCCTGACTTTTAAAGGACACTGTTGCACTGGATACGAAACAGTAGCCACAGGAGAGTCTGAGGCTTCTGAGAACTTTGTCTTGGTGAGTTTTATAAATGCCAAGCACATAAAGAGAGGCTGTATCAGCTGACATAAGACTCAGACGCTGATGTCGGAGGGACTTTGATGAGCCAAACGCAGCAACGTTTAGATGCTCAGTGGGTCATGGCAGCGTTCATGTGATGGACTAAATCAAACCTGGAAAACTGAATACTTTAAATCACTGGCTTGCTGTTTTCTGGCTGACGTCAGTGTTAACAGTGTTGCTGCAGTTATGAGGACTTTGCAATATTGGCTTGTGATTGGCTGTTGCAGGAGCATTATCCAATTTCCTGGAAACCTGGGCATGCTATGGGAGATTTTTTTTAAATCATGAAACATTTGCCAGAGTTCCTTGAATACAAATCAGCTTACGGCAACTATTTTTGAGACCGAAGTCGTTGGATTCCTGCACCAACTGTTGAGTGGTTAGCAAAAAGCCGCCAGCTGCCAGAGTGTGTTTGCTCTGAACATGGACACCTGGACCTACAGAGCTGCGAGACAATTCAAAGAATGTAGAAAACATCTTATATGCAAATCATATTTAATATTTTTGAGATTGTTTTTAAAGAGGTGGAGAACCACTTGCTGTGGCTTTAGACCAGTTGATCTGATTGGACGCAGCAGGACTTGAGTCTGTTGTCGACACACTACTGATGCACTGATCGCTTGCACTGACTGATACAGAGTGGCAGGCTGTCTGTCTGACTCACCGATGCAGCGGGGCCAGACGTCTGCCCGTCTCTCTGACTGACCAACTGGATGACTGACCTGCTGTTTGTCTGTCTCATAGGAGCATTTGAACTCACCACTTTAAGGCCAATAATTTCATCAGAAATTGTAAAAAAAAAAAAAAAAAAAATGTGCCAGTTACGCTGATCAGAATAATGCTGGAGTCACATGGTGTTTTTATCTCTTAGTAACAAACTGAAATGACGAATCATGTCTGCCTGTTGTCTAAGGGAGCGTGTCAAAATGCACTGTAGAAACCCAACTGTAAAATTCTAATGTAAAAGATGCAGGTTTAAGATTTTCTATTTATTGTTTTGGGATATTTGATCACAGCATTTATTCACATCAAAGTGAGGTTCTCATTTCATTTTCTCTGCCTCGTTGTGTTAACACTCTGTGCTCCACTCACACTCATCCAGACGATGACAGTGGGTGTGTTTTAGATGTAGTTATTTAGCCGGTGCCATAGCTTTTGAAAGAGAAGAGATTTATAGGAGCTGCTTCATGAACCAAGTTCTCAGCCGGACTTTTCATTTCTGCCTGCAGTCTTCCGGGAATCATGGACGGGGTCAACTGTCGTCTCAAAGCCCTCTGACAGAAAGTAAAATACTCAAAAAAAGACCATACTGTTGTTTTTGTATGTTAAGTCAGATTTACAGGTCATGTTTACGACATTAGCCCCGCCTCATTTAGACTGATGAATGTGTTTTTCATGTCATCCAGCTCCAGCTCATATGATCACAGTTTAAAATGTCTTGAAATTCACTCGACATGCTTCTGCTGATCACTGTGAATTTGAAGTTTACACACTCACAAGTGGGTGGGATGTGCATGTAATCGCAATTTAGGAAAAATCTATAAGCAAAAGTTAAGCATGGAGTGAGATTAGCAATCTTTATTTTACCAATTTGGAGGCAAAATTTAAAGTCAAGCACCGCAGCATCCATTCATTCACCATTTCCTACATTAGAGACACTCGAAAGTTAATTAAACTAATAACACATTCGAATAAAGAATCAGAATAAAGAATCATCGTCATTCATGATGATGATGATGATGATGCCCTGTATCAAAGGTGAAATGTGGTATTTATTTATCACACCATAAACTTTTTTGTTCTCTTGTGGCAATTTTTGAGGCACTAAATGGAGCATTAATTCCACTCTGAGAATCTGACACTTAAACAAAATGGTGGATCGTACAAAAAAACAATCCAAACGGCAGAATAAATGTTGGTATCGTATGTTTCTGCAAATCACAGATATGTTACAATTGTACGTTATTTTGTAGCAGATAATGTCGAAACTTTACACTTCTTTATGTGACAACAACGCTGTGATGAAGGTGTGGATATTTTTAGGCACAAAAACACTTCGTAATGTTTAGTAAAAGATCATGTTCGGTACCCAGTACCCAATACCCAGTTTTGTTGCACTATCCTGTCCCAGAAAATGCAGCAATGGCTCTGGTACCAAAAACGAAACGCTTTTTGAGGTTCTATCCCAGGTGGAAACACAGCGACTGGTCACCAAAAAACACCCACATATGGTAGCAAATAAAAAGCTTGAAACGTAGCAACGATTCACAAAAGACAACCACTTTTGTTGGTCTGGAACAGAGGTCTGCAGCTTGGCACATGTCCCGCCTCTCACGTCTTGCCGTCTCGCTAACCCTGACCTCTTAACTCTAACCCCTGACACATCTCCATCTCTGTCTAGGTGTCACACTGTCCTCCATCCCCTCCATCTCCCAAAGAAAGAGTCAGCTTATACACGTAGATATGATACGTATGAAACATACAAATGTAACGTATCCATCATTTGCAGAAACATACTATACCAACATTTTCCTCTGATGACTGAGCTGAAATAAGTAGAGTGATTTCAAGCATAGCCGAGCACGTTAAAGCCTCCTGTCAGCACCTGAAGCCACCAGAGTGAAAACATTTTTCTATATATATAGTTTCTTTACTGCACCCCTGCTCCCTAAAATAAAAAGCACTCATACTTCACTATTCAAGTCTCAATCAGTTGATCAAATGGAAGTCAGCAGCTGCCTGGGCTGCAGGAAGAATACATTTTTCAGTCTAAAAACACTGTTTTACTGTAGACTATAATCAACAGGAAGTCATGACTATATGCAATCTGATATAGACTGGATAAACATGCAAACAAACACCAGTATGGCTCAAGTTCATAGTTCATTCTTGACAGAAAGAAACACAAGTTGACAAAACAATTTCACTTCAGAGTCCATTTAGTGGCTGTTCTGGAGCTTTTCACCATCACATGACCTTCATTAGAAGATAGATGCTCAGGTTTTCAGTGATCCAGAGCACCTTCGTAGGATTTCTCTTCCAGGTTGACTTTAAATCTAACCTCAGTCGGCGAAGACTCAGTTGAAAGCTCCAGAGCATTTACTAAATGGACCTCAGAGTAGACTATTTTTGGGTCAAGGAGTATGGTGTGGAAGTTTTCAGATGAATAATGTTCTTACTAAGTGCAGATGTTATATTTTTTAATATAAACTGTGGATGTTGTGAACTAAACAGCTGATATTGTGAGTTCATTAACTGTCGTGTGTTTGAGAGACGGTGCGGTTTGTGACGGTTGAACTTTTATACATTAATAGTTGAAGTTTGTGCACTGAACTTACAGGTGATCTGTAAACCTTCAAACTTGAAATGATTTGAATTAACAACAGATACTAAGCAGGCTTACTTTGCAAAAAAGAAGAAAAAAATCAAAACTGACTTCTGTGCTTCTTTTGTCTGAAACTGTAAAATGATGCATTTTTTGTCACTCGAAAGTTTCCTTTGTGTTGAACATGAACACAGGGAGTTTCCCTTTAGAGCACATTGGAGCTGATGGACATTGTTCAGTCAGTGTGGAGTGAGCAGGCGATGGTTTACTTTGAAGAGTCTGCAGATTATAATTCAAGTGAAGAAGATGTTGCTTTGATGGAAAATGTCCATTAACAATAGAGTTTGGTTACATACAATAACACCTGAGCTGAAGTAAAAGTACAGCTGATGTGTCAAGCTAACGACAGCACAAAATACAATAAAATATATATTTTAAGGACAGTAGGAAAACTTCATTTCTAGGTCTCTTACTCTTACCTGTACACCCAAACATACCCTATAATATTAGTAATATTGAATTTTATTATTGTGAAATATAATTATGAATACCTTCAGGTGATGCTCAGTATTTGTCTGGTAAGAAAGTCATAAGAAAATACTTCCTTCTTCACTAAGAAGCTAAAAATTCATCACACTTTACTCAGCAGCGCTCAAGACAGTTTCTCAAAACCACTTATGTTTTATGTTTTAGTTAACACTAAAACTGTGTATTTTATAGCCGGTCTTGTAATTACTGCGCCCATGTTCTTAAGTGTATTAATTCATATTTCCTATGTCACATTATGGGTTTAAAAATACATTTTTAATATTTTTCTAAGAGATTTAACGGGCTGTTAAAGGGTAACTTTGGTATTTTTCTACCTGGACCCTGTCTTTCTGTAACTAATATGAACAGTCATGTTTGAAATTGGTACAGTACCGAGAGAAAATGCCACAGCCGACAGCAAGAAACAAGCTACAATGTAAAATGAATTTCAGTGTAAACTGACCATAAACTTATATTTCAGTCATGGTAATCATAAGTGCTTTATTGTAGACAACTGGACTTGCTTGAGTTTCTTGAAGACGTTTCAACTCTTATCCAAGACACACATGTGAGCTCTGAGTTTCAGAGTTCGAGTTCAGACCTTAATGACTGAAACTCAGAGTTCCCTTGTGACCTCAACGACTCTGTAAGGGTTCACATGCACACACAAGTTGAGAGGTTGTGACTCTACACCAGTCCGTTAGAGCTGAAGAAGCCTCTTGGATGAGAGGGGAAACGTCTTCAAGAAACTCAAGCAAGTCCAGTTGCCTAGGATATAGCACTTAAAACTGTCCTTTTACATCCACCAAAGATGGGTTTTTTTGCCACTGACAGGCTCAGATTGTTATTCTAAGTGTCTGACAACATTATGTAAAGGATCCCTACAGAGATAGGCTTTTTGTGAAAGAGTAAAATCTTTTTTGTTTAACCAGAAACAGCCACAAAATCGCCATTGCCAAACCCACCAGACTCCATTTAAATAAACAACAATTTTATTATTGGAAAACACACTTTATTCAAAGTAAACAGAAACAAAATAAAACTCACAAATACCACCTTTGTTCATCTTTCCACTGTTCCAAGAATCACAGACTCTGGTTTGGTTTGAATCAACCCTGAACTCACCCAGTTAGATGTGAAAATGTGCGGACTCTATACATTCTAAAATTGCTGTTTATTTAAATGGAGTCTGGTGGCAATGCGATGGCAAATTTGGGGCTGTTTCTGGTTGAATGAAAAACTCTATCTCTGTAGGGATCCTTTACATAATGTTGTCAGAAACTTAGACTAACAATCTGAGCCTGTCAGTGTCAAATCAAACACTGTTAGTGGACATACACTGACGGTGCTCAATTGCCCCATGTGGTCACACTGCAGCCTGTTTCACTGCTGGCTGCAGCTCTCTCTTTCAACACTGGACCAATTAAAAAGATGTTGTTCCCAGTAGTCACGTAGACACAAAACCATGTGAAAATAGGGTCCAGGTTCAAAAATACAGAAGTACCATTTACTACTGCTCCGCTCTGGGCGTGGTCTTCACTGTGCGATTCAATTGTTGGAGTTCTGTGGAGTTCAGCAGCAGCAGCAGCAGCAGCAGGTGAGTGTCTAGCTGTGACAGTGTCAACTTTTAACTTTTAATTGACTTTAAACACATCTCGAGACCGACCATCTTCACCTTTGTGTCATTTGTGGGACTGTTTTATTTCAGTAGTTTGTTGCTAATGACATAAGTCTCATTTCTCAGGTGTTCAAATCACCTTTAAAAACTTTTAGGCGCACATTAATAGAATCAATTATAATTTAATACAGCTAATAGTCCTGCCATAAATGCTATGCTTAAGAGATTTATTAGTTTTTGGTGACAATGTCAAAAATGTTTAAATTAGATTATATGTTAAATATTTATTATTTAGATTATGGTTAAAGATGGTATTGTACTGGACTATATTATATTTAGAGATATTTCTAAATTTATTGTCCTTATCATTTACATACATGAGAGGGCAGAATATTTTAGAATTCTACATACAAATGTGCAATTATATAATGACTAACAGATGTGTTAGACCCATTTATTAAATGTCTGATCTGTTGATGCTCTTCATCTTTTTACTATTTTTAACTAAGGAACAATCAGGAACTAAAATGGACTGCAGCTTTAAGTGTTATTATTAACATGTACTTTTAAAACCATGACGTGTAAATGTGAAAAGCGCTTGACCAGTCATAATATGTATAGTAATAAACTTAATTTGGATATGCCTTCTTTATATGGATGTATGAGAAGTACTATAAATACATTTTAATTTAATAAAGTTAATCAATCAGTGAAGACAGGCGTCACTCTACAGCTTGTACTGCTGTTGTCCACGAGAGGGCGGTGTGCTATGCTACACTTAAATACAGTAAAGGAGTGAATAACATAAGGGAAAAACCTAACCTTGAAAAGTCAGTTAGAATATGTTTATCAATAAGGGATAAATATGATAAAATTTTGGAGTCCTCTGAAAAAACCCTTGCAATGTATAATAAACAGCCAAAAACACACAGTGGCTAAAAATTAAATAGAAATTTTAATGTCCTTTTTAGTAAAGTTTACAAGTATTTGTGAAATCATACCATGAACATACTGTAAGAGCCAAAATATATATTTTGCTTATGTTTATTGTTTATTTGTATGTATGCACAGGTATGTCACATCCGGTGGTTGACACATGGGTGTGGTTTAAGTTATTTAACCGGGCACTACTATGACTTTTTTTTCATGATTTTTGACGACATACTATACTATGACTTTTTTTTCATGATTTTTGACGACATACTATACTATGACTTTTTTTCATGATTTTTGACAACATACTATACTATGACTTTTTGTCATAATTTTTGAGGACATACTATACTATGACTTTTTCATGTTTTTACACGGCATACTATACTATGACTTTTTTTCATGTCTTTTGACGACATGCTATACTATGACTTTTTTATGATTTTAGACAACATACTATACTATGACTTTTTTTTCAATGTTTGGGACGACATACTATACTATGACTTTTTCATGATTTTTTACGACATACTATGACTTTTTCTCATAATTTTTGACGACATACTTTACTATGACTTTTTGTCATGATTTCTGATGACATACTATACTATGACTTTTTTTCATGATTTTTGATAACATACTATACTATGACTTTTTTCATGGTTTCGGACGACATAGTATACTATGACTTTCTTTCATGACTTAACATAGTGTACTATGACTTTTTTTCCATGATTTTTGATGACATACTGTACTGTGATTTTTTTCCATGATTTTGGACGACATACTATACTATGACTTTTTTTCATGACTTTTTTTCATGACTTTTGAAGACATACTTTCCTATGACTTTTTTGTCATGATTTTGGACGACATACTATGCCATGACTTTTTTTTTTCATGATTTTGGACGACATACTATACTATGACTTTTTCATGATTTTGGACGACATACTATACTATGACTTTTTTTTTCATGATTTTGGACGACATACTATACTATGACTTTTTTTCATGACTTTTGAGGACATACTATACTATGACTTTTTTTCATGACTTTTGAAGACATACTTTCCTATGACTTTTTTGTCATGATTTTGGACGACATACTATGCCATGACTTTTTTTTGTCATGATTTCGGACGACATACTATACTATGACTTTTTCATGATTTTGGACGACATACTATACTATGACTTTTTTTTGTCATGATTTCGGACAACATACTATACTATGACTTTTTCATGATTTTGGACAACATACTATACTATGACTTTTTTTCATGATTTCGACGACATACTATAGTATGACTTTTTCATGATTTTGGACGACATACTATACTATGACTTTTTTTTGTCATGATTTTGGACGACATACTATACTATGACTTTTTCATGACTTTAGACAACATACTATGACTTTTTTTTTCATGATTTTTGACGACATACTATACTGACTTTTTTCGATGAGTTTTGACGACATACTATACTATCACTTTTTTTCATGACTTTTGAGGACATACTATACTATGACTTTTTTTCATGACTTTTGAGGACATACTATACTATGACTTTTTTTCATGATTTTGGACGACATACTATACTATGACTTTATTACATGGTTTGGGGACGACATACTATACTATGACTTTTTTTCATGACTTTAGACGACATGCTATACTATGACTTTTTCATGATTTTGGACGACATACTATACCATGACCTACCTGCCTTCCTTTGCTACCTCCTCCTCTGAATGGCGCAGGCTCAGGGGGATTACTACGACCGGGTATTTTATTTATCTGTTTGCCAGTGTATATGTAGATTACTATAGTGTACTATTGTTGTAGGTTACTTGTTGCCTATTTTGTGTATTAATAATGTATACATTGTGGGGATGATGATGACATCCCCCCATAAGCAGCTCTTTAAAAGCCTCAGCTATTGTGCCTCACACTTCCACTGCGTTTCATGGAGCCTTTCACTCTCTCCTCTGGACAGCTGCCTTTTAAATTCAATGG